TGCGAAAGACGCAGAAAATTGATCCTCAAATCGAGAAAAATCGAGAAAATCACATTTTTTTATGACGGACGAAAGTTTCGGAGGCAGTGTGCAAGTGTGATTGACATAATGTGAGGTCATATTTATTTCTGAATGTGCGAAAATTTCGGCAGCGAATTTTGGAAGGGCCTTGTGTGCAAGGGCCTTAAGACTGAACGTAGCAAGTAGGTCAAACGTTCTCTGTAAAGTAAAGCATAATTGTATAATATGGCGTTTAACTTCAATGATTCAACAGCTGCCTTCAAATTCATGAGCGGAAGTTGTTTTGAAACAGTGGATTTATCCTGTTAAAGCTGATTCAAAGTTTGCATCACTTCACTTACGGTACAAAGTAGTTTCCAATTTAATATTTTACTTAACCATTGTGGCAAGCAGGGCGGGGGCGAGAGCTGTGGGAACGGAGCGAGTTTCTCACGGAGGAGCTACGGAAGGATAAAAGGAGGAGTGACGACAGTGAAGGACCAGAGAGGACCAGGTCTGGACTATTTATGTTGCGTTTTATTATGTTTATACACGGTAATCGCCAGTGAGGGGCTACCGCTTTACTTTGTTTTGTGTTTATTGATTTTGTGATATTAAAGTTACGTTGAAACATTTGCCTCCTTCTTCCCTGAACCTTTAAAACTGCTACTACAACCATACACAATCTTCACCTTTGTCACCAAGCGATTTGGCCTATAATTTTAAAAATTAAAATTATTGAGAATGCAGACTTGTACTGCCAAAGTTAAACATTATCACCACTAAAAAAACATGCCTTAAAAGGATAGCTCACCCAAAATGAAAATGCTAACTCTCAAATTGTTCATTTCTTCTGTTGAAGACAATCGACCATATTATTTTAAAAAATATTGGTAGCTATTGACTTCCATAGTAAGAAAAAATAAATAAAATGGAAGTCCAAGGCTACCATCAACTGTTCACAAGTACATCTTTTAATGTGGGCCTATGCTCAGAGGCTGCGATGAGTAAGAAGCAGTCTTTACTCATACAACAAAAACTTGAGAACTATAAACACCATCCAATCATTCCTGTTCTTGTTGAACAAGCAGCTTCATTGTCTTTGGTCACTCTGGATGATGTCCCTGTTGGCTACAGTGAAGTTATTTAGGACAGGCATTCCTGTAAGCACTCCTCAAATGTTCCTTTAACATGCTCCGAAATTCACACAATCTATGTGTGAAAATTCAAATTAATTACAGATGTACTGATAGAACCACTTGTACCAAAATAACATTGCGAATAAGAAAGAAAATTCTAAATATTTTATCATATTTTGTTAAATATATTTTGTGTTTGGAACAACAGTATATTATGTTGGGTGAATTCTCTCTTAAGAGTGCACAACAAAAACAACAACAGAAGAAAAATCCAGAACTTATCTCCCTCTTATTCAAGACGTCACCATTTTTCTGGTTGATGAAATCAGCAGTATTGACAGTAAAATATATGGCTCTGCCTCTTAACGACTGATTTTAATGACAGGCCTTGAAAGTGCTCAAAAAAGAGGGAACAAGAATCAGCCAGAAGATAGACTCGGAGTCGGTACATAAAAGTTCTCACACCCACAACCACATCGGAGAAATGACATCAAACATGTAGATTCCTAAAAGGTAATGAGATGAAATTGTTTGTGTAATTGCTAGGGTTATTTAGAACCAGTTCTATTAAACACACACACATATCTCAGGTTATCCAGTTTTATGGGTACTCTCCATATACATAATAATTTTTATCCTATAAAAACTGTGTATTCTATCCCCTAACAATAAACCTACCCATCACAAAAAACTTTCTGCATTTTTTACATTTTCAAAAAGCATTACCTAGTATGATTTATGAGATATTTTTCTAATGGGGACTAGGACAAGAACTTCAGATATTGTCATCTTTGTGGGGACATTTTGTAGGGTATGGCTGAACCACACAAATTATTATTTTTTTTAGAATCTGAATCTGCAACCAAATTCAGCATTATTCAGTGTATTGACACTGTTTTTGATGCATTTATGTTTATTGTTGATTGTAAAGCACTTTAAGCTTGGTAAAAGCACTTTATAAATTAATTATTTTAACTATTTCAGTTAATGAAAATGATTTCTAATAGTTTTAGTTAACAATAACACCACTGCAGCCAATCCAAACATAGTAATAATGGTGCAGGGTAACTGGGTAAGTGGTTTAACTGTGAGGGGGAAAAAAAAATCAAACTTAATTAATTAAGTACAACACTACAGTACAACACTCCCATAAGCAGATCTCAAGCAGAGGCAACTGGTCTCAGGAGATTGCCCATTTAGAGAGTGAAAGAGTGGCCTATACCTCCTCAGAACTGAAATCAGAGCTGCGCCTCATGCTCCTGATGTGCTGAGCGACAAGAGACATTGCTTCCTTACAACATTCCACTACAAAACATATCAACAGGTATTGAAGAGAAGCCAGTACAATTTCTGGTGTAAATTGATTTAAAAGTTTGTGCATGAGTCTTCTTAACCAAGTGTTGACTACAAACACTATTAAATTAGGCTCATGTAGACTTATTTAATTTGACTTGCTGAAAGTGTGCATCTACCTGTACATGTGCATTTTTAAAACACAATCTACCTTATTCAGAGAGCAGTGCCATGACAGGGACAGACTGTGTTTTCAATGGTATCCGCTGTAAAAAGCTGTATAGAGCTCCTAGATAACTTATAATTTTGCACAGCTCATATTGTCTGGGTGTTTTTGTCTACTGAAATTCCTTGGCAAGATCATTTTTGCAGTGTTTTGTCAGCAGAACAATCCAAAAACTCATTAAAACATTGCAACCCACTGAAGAGGTCTTTGTCTATCCCTTACAGCGTCACTTTCATGGGCTTTAGGACCCATGAGCTGATATCCTCACAGCTGACTGGGAAGTGACAAGGCTATTTTAACATTAACAGTCTCAAATTATAGTCATGTTACAGTGCAAAATGTTGAGCCCAGCCTAGGAAGGAACCCACATCTTATGTAACCACAAAGAGATCTACATAACTTCACCCCAGTGTTGGCTAAAGCTCAGGAGGTAGTAATCCTGACAGCTCTGACTGAATTATTGATTCTTGTCACATTATAGGCTGTAGGCTGATGCCTGCCAAAATCTCATTCAAAAAAGCTGGAGAAGAAGCATGCCAACGACAGAGCAAAAGGCACTAGAGCTGCAGTCAACCAAATGGACTTACAGATCAAAAACCACCTTGTTTGCTTGGATTTCCATCCTTGATTATTCTTGACTATAGGTTCATGCTGGTAGAATATTGTCATTAACACTTTAGCTGTTGGGTACCACACCCAAAAAAAGATATTAACATATCTAAAAAGTTGTAAAGAGGTTGAACAGGTGGGTGTTTCAAAAGAATTGCAAGAACATACACAATCCAGAATGCCTGCCTGCATTTCTTGACTCAATCTTGCCTGGACTTGCATTACTAGTTAGGCGGCAGCAGCTAAAGAGATCAAAGAAGTTGAAAAGTATGATATGTGTGCAGCGGCAAATGCAACGATGTCGACAAAGCAAAAGTAATGTTGTAAAATATTAACAATGAAGTGACTGGCAGAGCTGACACTGATAAAGGTCTCGCCATCCATGTCTGGTCATGAAAATATCTGCATCATCAACAATGTGAACTCTAATTACGTATTTACCAACCTCTTACATCGCATTGATAAAATTTGGCTTTCAACAACAACTGTACTTCTTTTCACTAACTGTCATGGCAGTCGGAATTTTAACTGCTAAATTTGATTAATATTTTTATAGTGTAACAGAGCAGATTGTGAACAGAGGCTGTATAACTCTTGTTTAGTGGAGGGTTATGAAAAAACAATGACTTAACCTGAGGCACGATTTATCCAGAGCAGAGGCATTATTAATAATTTATCCATACAAGAAAGCTATAATAGGAAGATGATTCCGGCAAACACAGAACACATCTGCTGAAAAGGTGCTTCAATGTATATCCAATCAGTATGTCAATGGACAATAAACAATTTGTTTTGTTTAGTTATAGCCTTATAAGTTAGTTCTCTAGAGATTTAGGTGCCGTGCCATCGAAAAAGTCCAAACTTGAGGGAAAGAGCGAGTTAATGAATCTTTTTAGTGTGATTCAAAAGATTCGAATCACTTGGATGAATCAAAGTCCCCGCTATTTAGATTGTAAATCGAATGTACCAGATGATGGCCATGAAAATAAAAACGTTTGGTCTTTTACAAAACATATACACATTTCGAAGTAAGTTACTTAAAATACCATGGCCTTTGATCTTACATAGGCTACTAACTTACACGCAAACGAGCCCTGAATCAAATAACGTGGAAAATAATGGGGAACCGAAACATCTCGCGTCTCGCGCCCTAGTCCCTAGAGTGTTATTTTGCTTCATGACTTCATGTTACAAATGGTTGTATTTAGGACATCTGTAAATATAGTCTCTTCTTTTAATTGCAGAACGTCGCTCTAGCACAGGCGAAATCGTGACTATGGCGCTGTTTCGAAACATATCGAGCTGCCTACATAGACATCATCATCATGGGGTTCAAGAGCGCTCGCTTGCATGTTAGACTTCTCTGAAAGCGCCCAAATGCTTTTCAAAACAGATAACATACATTATAATTGGTTTAGCTAGCAACATGTGTTGCTAAACCAAATATGTTATCTGTGCGACTCACTAGTCACCCGACAATATTTTGAGTACAGGAAATAAAAGAAGGGTAACGGGCGTTATGAAACACAAGAAAACTGAATTTTAAGCTTGTTATGTTTTACTATGAAATATCGTAGTCAAATTCTCTTATATCATGCTGTTGTCGGTGGCAGATGTGCGCATCAAATGTGCTAACGTTAGATACAGCAAACGACTCCACACACTAGCTAGCGCTCTTTGCTAGGCAAAACGACAAAAGCGAAACATAAATCCCAGTTAAAGTGACAGTTTACCTGGTCCAGTGGCAGATCAATAATCTTACTAATTGGCTGCAGCAGTGTGGCGCCTGTGCAAGACGTAGAAGTGGCCATGATTCAGTCCAGCTCCACTCCCTTACAGTCAAATCGCCCAAAACACTGTCCCTCCTGTTTCTCTCCTTCTCTTCCTCTCGTTATGGTGGATGGGTGTTGGGAATGCTGTTTTAGTGTTGCTTTCGCGGACTGTCAGCGCTGTTGCACTGCCTGAACATCAACACAAAGCCCATGTAGGCGGACTGACTCGCCCAACCCCTCCATTACATCAAACTACTGCTGCTCAATCACACTCACACACACACACACACACACACACACACACACACACAGCTCAGAAGAACTTAACTGCCACTCCCTCTCATTCATCCCTTTGCCACAGCAGTACACTCATACTGATTAAAATATATATATATATTAAATTAACATGCACATGAGACCAGACAGATCATGAAAGGGTCGCCCCCTCATGGCCGCGGCCATGTTGACATCACATGACCATCTGTGTCACATACATTTTTTTCGGTTTATGATGATAATAACTTCTCTAAAGTGCGTTACGAATCAATAATCAAGTACAAACAATCAAAAATACAAATTAGTTACTGAATCCAATGTATGTTCCTGAAACTTCCGTTTTAATGGGAGATGGAGAAAAATTATGTGGAGTAGGCCTACCTTGTACTTTTCCGATACACATGAATAAAAAAAAAAACTTTCACACTTTGAAATAACTTAACATCAACGAAAATTAAAACTTTAGAACAATGTCTCACACATATTACTAACCGAATTAATGTAATGAAATTATGTATATTTGGATACGGATACCCAACAACACATAAAATGAGAAAATTGTATTGAATTGCATGATTAATTTTGGAACAGAAATAGTAATTACATGCCTGACTTCTGTGATCTTAAAAATCAGACCCAGAACCAAGATTTGACCAACATGATGTCTATTCTAAAAACGGTTCTTATTGTGCAGTGCAGTAAGAATTACAACAAGGTCACGAGGACCAGACTTTTTTTTCCTGAAAAAAATATTTTTAGTGCATTGACATAGAGCTGTTATGGGAATTCCAACAAACTCCTTGATCCAATCTTTATAAACAATGACCCCTCAAGTTCAAACAAGATGTTCCTGCTCAATTCATCTTCCAAAAATATTCACAGATTGTGCTTTTGCTCACATCTCTATAGCCTCAATAAACTCCTAATTACTGCTTATTAATGGTTATTAATGTATGTGTTAAGTTATTGGGTAGAATTAAGAGATATAGAATATGGGGATGCAGATGCATCAAAATGCATTAGTGCTTTATAAGCCTACAAATAAACAGCCAATAGGCTACCCTAGAAATGTGTACCCTAATAAGCAACTAGCTGATAGTGAGAATTAGACCCTAAAACAAACCTTTACCATTTAATTGTAATCAGAGCACAATGGTCAAATTGTTTTGTTTGTAATTAGTACTTTTCGTATATCAGTTATCATTTTATTATATGCTCAGCATCAATGAGTGGACTTGAATGTAGAGAAGAAGCACTCGACTGCAGATAGTGCCATCTACTGGTTATGTTAGAATAAATATCCCTGTTTTATCACTTCAATGTGTCATTTATTACTTGTTTTTAATTAACAAATTTGTTAGACAAAAACGTTTTATAAAATGTCAGAAAGATATTGTTTTCTAAGCCTACGCCTAACAACTGTAGGCCTATAGCAGTTGCTGTTTGTAAATGAAAACAAAGGCAGATCATTTTTCAAAGCATAGTTTACATATAGCCTACTGTAATTCAGGTGATTTGATTTCACACAGCTTAACGTGCAAATGGCAGCTACAACCTGTAATGTTCACTTAGCCAAGGCCTACTATTAAAATTGCATGCAAATGTCAGTCTGACAGCGCATGTCCATTTTAGAGTTCCAGGATGTCCATAGCTCTAAACAACTCCACCAGTAACGTCGAATTGCAACACCACCTGGACTTTTGGCTTTTTTGCTCTGCTGAACAGCGGCAGACATACAGTATCCACACTGAGTGGCTGTAGAAAGACTCGTTATTCATTGTGTCTCAGTGTCTGGACGCACAAGTTAAGCTCATACTTCACACACAGCTCAGGTTTAGCTACAGTACAGGAAAGAACAGGGTTGAAACTATATTTCTGCTTAATTGTTTAGTCCAGAGGTCATTAAAATTGGGTCCTGGAGGGCCGCTGTCCTGCTCACATGCTTGAAAGTTTCTAGTATGCCTAGTGAGACCTTGAGTTGGTTCAGGTGTTTAATTGGGGTTTGGGACTAAACTCTGCAGGACAGCGGCCCTCCAGGACTGAGTTTGGTGAACCCTGGTTTAGGCTAATAATTTTTTTTTTTAAATAAAACCATCTCACCAATAAACCTATTTTGTTATTTTATTTTTATACAGTATTGCTTAGTCTTTCTTTTATAAAGGCAGTGTCAATATAACTTAATAAAATGGGTTTCATGTGGAACAAATTAACTGGTTTCAAGTGAATATTAATTTAATATGTTTGAATCAACCTGACTCACTGGAGAAAATGATCTAATTTTGCAGAATAACAAAAAACAACTTGCATTGAATTAAATACAGGTACGTGGATTTTGGTTGTTTTGTTCACATTTTTAGATATAAAAATGTTTTCAGGATCAGTACCTGCTGAAAAGTTCCTTTTGACCCCACTAAACAAGTTATCAACATTTTCCTACACTCCATGATGCTTTGCATTAATTCTTTTGAGGAACATTCATGGAGTTGCAAACAATTAATGAAACCGTTTAAAGTCGGCATGAAATGAAAGTTGTGTCGAGTCTTTTCTTTCCAATTGTGCCGTTTATTTCAGAGAGAAATGGCTTCTCGAACAATAAAATCGATTGGATGGTTGCGGTTTGCTATTGTTGTGATCTCATGCGCGTAACAGGTTCTCCCACCCTTGCACCAATAAACACGATCAGAGAAGAGATGTTGCTGTAGGAAGAAGTTATTTTGAATTGTTATATATATATATGTGCATGGATAAATCATTTATAATAAATACTGCAATATTCCATAAAAAAAATATTGATTTGATTTCAGGGTGACTTTAACTTGACCCATATCTTACATCAAATAAGCAAAAGAAGTGAGACCAAGTAGCAGTTCTTGCATTTTATTTGACAGAGTACAAATAGAACTAGTTGGTCCGATCCAATAAAGATACAAAAAGTATACATAAAAACTAAGAAAATAGAAAAGATGTAGGAAAAAGATGCAGTTCAAAAACGTATTATCCAAATCTGGGCCCGTATTCATAAAGATTCTAAGGATCCTCTCAGAAAACTCTTAATTTAGCTTAAAAACTTTTACGTAGGAGTCTTAGCTTAAGAGTGATTCAGGACTGATCTGAGAGCAACTCTGAGTAAGGAAAAGACAAAAACTTTCATCTTAGTGAGTAGGCGGGGCTGACCCCGTTGCCGTGTATGACACACTCTTTTGAAGACTGTGATTGGTTGGTTAACTCACTGTCAAAGCTATGATTGCAACACATTTCTTCTCCTTCTCTGTCTCACTGCCATTTTCTTCTCTGCTAAAGAAACTCTTAAGCCTCTTAAAAGTCCTCATCCATACTGACAACAATTTTGACCTTAAGACCTCTTTTAAGGGTTAAGATTCTTTCTGAATTACTTTTTTCTTTACTAGGATTTTTTCTTTCATTTTAAGAGTAAACGCCCACATTTCTAAGTATTTTGTCACTAGGAGCTACTTTTTGCATTAAGATTCTTTATGAATACGGGCCCTGATCTTTATAAAGTCTACAGTGTATAAAGAAAAAAGCAGAGTGAGCGCACAACTTTTAGTCACCAGCCTGTTGACAAGACAACAATGCACTTATTTTTCCCCGTGCTTTTCATCATGCCATTTTCTGAAGCAGTTCCTTGTAGGCACAAAGCACAAAGCTACACTGCATTTTGAACAGTACACAGGTGTCTTTATTTTGATTCCTGAAAGTTTGCAAAAGACACAGACTCTCCTCCCGATAGAGGCATCACACCCATGATACTCTGGCCAGCACATCTCTTTCTTTGAGTTGACCTCGGTTGTGTGGGGCTTTGATGTGGGCGGCTCTGGGTCGCATGATGTGGACGGCTCTGGGTCACATGATGTGGACGTCTTGGGAGCAGCTGATGAGTTGGACGGTGTACCAATCCTAACCAGCTCTGACACAAGTGTCTCTCTAAATTGCTTCTGGGTGAGATGGGTCTTATTCTGAGATTTGGACAGCTGCTGGTGGATAATAAAACTGTTCACCACGGCGATATCGATGAAATGAAAAAAAAAGGTCTTGTACCATTTTTGGGTTTTGTGTAGGACATTGTAGTACCCAATTAGAGCATCCGAAACATCCACACCTCCCATATATTTATTGTAGTCCTTCGCTGCTGCTGGAATTGGGATCTCCCTAATTTCCCACTCCTTCTTGGGATTCCTAACACGCCTGGTGATGGTAGAACCATCATATGCCTTGTGCATTGTTGAACACATTGAAACCATCTTTGAGTCCATCCACCTCACAAAGAGGAGCTTACCTTCCCGAAGCCAGCGCATGGATCCCTTTTGAGCTCTGAGGCTGAGGTCATTGGTCATTGTTCTAGGAAAGCCCTGTTGGTGGGAACGTATCGTGCCACACGCAAGTGTCTTTTTATCCAGCAAGTCCAATAAAAGGCCTGGGCTTGTATAGAAGTTGTCCATAAACACCTGGTAGCCTGAGCCAAGAAGAGGAAGATCCAGGAGGCGGATCACAGAATCGTAATTCATTCCTTTACCTGTGGCCAGCGAAGATTTACCTTCATAAACAAAGAAGTTCCATGTGTAGGCACAGGCAGAATCAGCAAGAACAAAGAGCTTGTAACCCCACTTGGTAGGCTTGTCCTTCATGTACTGTTTGAAGCCGATTCTCGCCCTAGTAGCCACCATCCTCTCATCCACGGACAGCTGTCTGTTTGGATGGAAGTACGTTTTGCACGCATTGATGATGTCAGTGTAAAGGGGCTTTATTTTGTAAAGTCGGTCATAGTCAGGAGTCCCCTTTTTCAGTGCATTCGCTCGATCCTCCTTAAGATTGCAAAGATGCAGATTCCAAGTGATGGCATTAAATCTGGACCTGGACATCACTGATTTTGGAAACGGTAAACTGTAAATGTCTTTTCTGGACCAGTAGTCTACAATATTTTTTGCACCGAGAAGCCCCATGTAAATAACAAGCGCAATAAACGAATACATTTCATGTGCTTTCAAAGGCACCCAAGGGAATTTTGCACCAGCTTCAGACCTCATTTTCGCATAACTATTTGTGTTGGTCACAATGGTGTCTATCACAGAGGTCGGGAAGAAAAGCTGAAATAGTTGTAAGGGGGAATAGATTCTGTCCATGACGACCTGAGGTCCTGGGTTTCGCTTTGGATAAAAATTAGGTAGCTTTGGAGCTTCATCCTCCACGCTGATGTCATTCCAAGTGCCTGTGTCACTCTCCACTGACCTGCCACGTGCAGACCTTTTTCTTACCCGTGGAGAATGAGACGTTCCTTTGGGAGTTGACCTTGGACTCAAGGAATCACCAGCACAAGATGTGGGGGTTCTGGGGGTGCAAGGTGTGCTGGTGGGGGACGGAGTGAGAAGACGCTGTTTTTTGGGGGTTGGCTCACTTTCTGGTTCCCATTCTTCATCACTTGAGCATCTGTAACAAACACAAAATGGTCAATGGTCATGCGCAATACACAAGCCTTGTTTATACTCGACGCAATATACATAATACAGAAATAAATGTAAAACATACAAATAAATTAGTATTTATACTTTTATTTCCTTATTTGTATAATTGTATTTCACACCTTTTTTCTAATGTATTCATTTATTTATTTCCACTTTTATTTCTACATTCATTTATGTTTTTACGTCTACATTTATTTATTTCCACATTTCTTTCTCCGTATGCTAATGAGGGGGCCGTGTTTTTTAACTCGGACACCAGCAATCGAGCTCAGAGTGCCAGTGCTGAAGCTTTGAGGCCACAGTGACACCTTGTGGTGAGTGTGACCAAACGAAACGCAAGAGCTGTGCAGGCAATCACATTTTAAGTCGTGTGTATCGCCCTAACTGAATGTAGGGTAGGCTATATACGGTTAACACACATAGCACACATGAACAGAAACTGCGCTTCAACGGGTCTGATAGCAGACACTTGGACATGAAAGCGCATGAAAGTATCCACTATTAATAACAGTGTGAACGCGGTGGATAGGGCAACGTGTCACTGTGGCCTCAAAGCTTCAGCACTGCCACTCTGAGCTCGATTGCTGGTGTCTGAGTTAAAACATGGCCCCCTCATTAGCATACAGAGAAAGAAATGTGGAAATAATAAAAAAATAAATAAATGTAAACATAAATGAATATAGAAATAAAAGTGGAAATAAATTAATTTGTGAAAAAATGCAATTATATAAACATACTTATTTGTACTCTTTTTTTTACGTTTCTTTGTATATTAATTTCTGTATATATGTATTTTTGCTTCTTTACATTTCTTCGTATATTTATTTATTTTTAAATTAAGTCAGCTTTGGCATTCCATATGTACCCGCATGTTTATGATCCTTCTATACACAGAGACATTTGCATTGATGGGCGATCACAAAAGCCTCTCATTTTGTCAATAGGAACACCCATTTGCACTAAGCACCCAGTTTGCACTTGTCTAGAGTATTGATTACATACATTTACAAAATAAGCCTACAATAGCAGAAGTAAGTACTGCTGATGATTAAGGTTTAAACACTCTCCAGGCTTCGGTTGTTTAACTAGTTGGTAGCTGGTAAGTCCCGCCCCTTCAGCGAGCCCCGCTGGACCTCTAGGTTGAAAAATCGTCAATGCAAGTGAATGAGAGAAAATAATTATTTTCTAATCCCGTTTGAATTTTGCAATGAATGCGAACATATGCTGTCTGTGAATTTTTTTTAGATAATGTTTCGTTTAAAGAATGCTACAATTTAGCTGGTAGAATTTTCATACGGTTAGACTTTGTGTGAGAGCACTTTGTGGACTACAACTCTTTCGACGTGTTTGACCCACCAGCACACGGATCCCGCTAAACATGCCTGTGTCTCTTTCGTGCACCTCACCGCCTTCTTTCAGGGAGAGTCTAACAAACTAGTTCAGTTGAGCGTGGTGAAAACCTTGATTTGTGGAGGGAAAATATGTTATGCGGCGACGTCACATATGCGACGTGTAGTCTTTCTCGTTATGTCTATTCCACAACTGCTAACGTTAGCCAAAGTATCATACAATATACTGTCAAACTCGTTACATGAGAAAATATATTAAAAAAAATTCACAGACAACATATGTTACATTCATAGCACAATTCAAACGGGATCAGAAAATAATTATTGTCTCTCGTTCACTTGCATTGACGCTTTTTCAACGAGTCCACTTGGAGTTTTATGGATGGGCGGCACTTGAAAGTAGGCTACACCTACTGCATTTACTCTTTTATGATTCAGTAGCCTACTCTTTTTATTCATAAAACATTATTTCTATCATTATTTTTGATACCTGTCATAATAAAACGTGTTGAGTAACCTCTGAGAAGTTATGCTGCGTTCCAGGCAGGTTTTTGAACACGTAAATCACGACTTCAAACCACGACTTACGACTTTGTAGCATTCCAGGTCATTCACGCCAAACTACCTGTAAACAAACCAGCATGGCGGACCTTACGGGGCTCACGCGCGGGTGGGAAGTCACGAGTTTGACTGCCGTTCCAGTGCACTTTCACGGGTATAAGGTTGGAAAAACACGAGTTACAGGTTGCCTGGAACGTGGCATTAAATCTGAATTTGTGTCTTGTAATACAACAAATGTCTATCCATAAAGAGGAGGCATAGCCTGCTTTAAATGTATTGAAATTAATAAGGCATATTTGAGTAAACTTTGAGTATCTGTTTGCCGGGCCGAGTTGTCCTGGTTTTTGGTAAATTAATCAAAATATGGTCACCCTAGCTTACGCACAAATTGTGCGGGACAATTCAAATCCACGGAACAACAGATAAACAAAATGCACTGAGCAGATATACCGTTGATATGAAACACAAAAATACGTGTATCAGTTCACAATGTGTACCTACTCTTCAAAATCAGTTTCTTCTTCTTCCTCGTCGTTATCGGCTTCTCCCACAGGCTCCTCGTCGCTACTGGACAATTCGTTCTCCCTCACACGACCGACCTCTTCCAAAACAGAATTACCAAAACGCAGCTTTCGGGTAGCTCTACCCTTTCTAGAAGCCATTGTGTCCACAGAAAGTGCGGGCAACGAAACAATATAGATAAATGCTGTTCAACGTGCTCAAACAAACACTCAACTTAAGAGACGTGCATTTGCAGAGCGAAACGTGAGTGACCTGCAGCGCTAGTCTAGCGAGAACATGAAATCCATGGGGAGGAGTCGGATCCAGATCCAACTCCTCCCACCTTACATCCACTTAAACCTACCCAACTCCGCCCCCTGATCACTAGACCCACCCCTAATCATACCCATCTCCACCCCTTACACACACGCACACACACACAATTCATTTATTTAAATGGGTTAGTGTTATGCATGTGCTTATATGTATTTAGGAACATATAGTTAATTCACATTATCTCTCCAGTTTAATTTTATGAAGTTAATATTTACCGAACATTGCTGTAAATATATTCGTAGCTTTTCCTTTATGGGAGCAGTCTATTTCCCTCCTAAATCATTCATTTGTACATGCACAGCGTAAGTATTTATTTTTGTTGGTTGGAATTCTGAACGGGCCACCACGGCAGACCTCTTTGTGTGATCACGAAGGTATAGGCTAATGACTGAATCAGAATTTATAAGCATGATCACGGGAATCAATAACCTAATACAGCCCAGTTGTGCTAAAATAAATATCATGAGACGTCCATCATCAGATGAATGACAGGGAAAAGTTAAGTTATAGCCGCCAAAGCCAGCGCTACCCATGCGAACATGAACACTGTAAGCTTTTCCCTCCAAAAATATAGCCTAAAACTTATCCAAGTTGTCACCCTGCCTCTCCAAATGCAAAATTGACATTAACAAAATGCAATAACAGCTTAAAAAGTACTTGGGTGTGTGTTTTATTTTATACTTACTGTTTAATAATGCAATCGCTGCTGTCTGTCCATTGAAGAACATGACATTAGGAGACCTGCACCACCACCTCCACAAATGTAGAGGAGATATAGATGGAGAGGAGATGGAGATGCAGAGGAGATGAAGAGGGAGGTGGAGATAGAGATGGAAATGGCCCTGAGCCTGAATGCTGGAAGGCCAATGGCTGAGGGAATTCCTGGAGGGACTTCATCAGAGCCAGACACTTCCCAAGATTCAAGGGCCTACATAAAATTTATGAGGTCTACATGCTATTTTTTATATAGGCTATTTTTTATATTTCCATTAGTTTTACTTTGGGTTTTTTTGTTGGTCCCAACAGGTTCTGATGCTAATAGCTGTCTTTTGGTGCCTCCTGTCCCAACAGAACCCCAGGCAGTTGCAAGTACCCACAAAAATCACAACAAGTGGTACTATTAAATAGTATTTACAAAGTTTACTCAATCTTTTCATCTTCACATGATGATGGGGATGAAGAAACAGTTTCTTCTGCCACAGAGAGGCACATTCACATTCACATCTCTATGTGGAGTAGCCTAGAATCTAAGTTATCAAGGAGACCGAAATAAACTCTAGGTTTACTGAAGTAAACCTGCTGCCGACCAGGTTAGGTTCACAGAGTAAGTTACCATGGTAACTGACTCTATAAGTTACCTCTCTTTCAGAAACGGGGTTGACTTACCTCCCATTCTGAAACAGAAAACCCAGAGTTTCCCTAATTTCAGGGTTAACATACTCAGAGTTTTCACTTAACCTCCTTTCTGAAACAGGCTCCAGGACTGAGTTTGGTGAACCCCGGTTTAGGCTAATATTTTTTTAAATAAAACCATCTTGCCAATAAACCTATTTTTTTTTTTATAGCCTAGTGCTTATTGTAGTCTTTATAAAGGCAGTGTCAATGTAGTTTTAAATGTTTAACTTAAAATTTGTTTTATGTGGAACCAATTAACTGGTTTCAAGTCAATATTAATTTAACATGTTTGAATCAACCTGTCATTCCAGTATGCAATAACTTGGGAATAAACAGAGAAGAATCACTCGTTCACTTCCATTGGAGTAAATGATCTAATTTTGCAAAAATAAAAAAAAACCTTATAATACAGGACTACAGGTAGTGGATTTTTGTTGTTTTGTTCAGTTTTAAAATAAAAAAAGACAAGTTATTCAGCATCAGTACCTGCTGAAAAGTTCCTTTTGACCCCACCAAACAAGTTATCAACATTTTTCCTACACTCCATGATGCTTTGCATTAATTCTTTTGAGGAACATTCATTTCATGCTGACTTTAAACGGTTTCATTAATTGTTTGCAACTCAATGAAAGTTGTGTTAAGTCTTTTCTTTCCAATTCTGACCTATATTTCAGAGAAAAATGTCTTCTCGAACAAGAAAAAAATTAGGGCAGGACTTGATTTTGGCAATTGATTGGATGGTTGTGATCTCATGCGAGTAGCTTCTCCCACCCTTGCGCCGATCAACACGATCAGAGAAGAGTTATTTTGAATCTATTTTGATTTTTTATATATGTGCATGGATAAATCATTTATAATAAATACTGCAATATTCCATTAAAAAAATATATTGATTTGATTTCAGGGTGACTTTAACTTGACCCATATCTTACAACAAATAAGCAAAAGAAGTGAGACCAAGTAGCAGTTCAGGCATTTTATTTGACAGGGTACAAATATAACTAGTTGGTCTGATCAAATAAAAATACAAAAAGTATACATAAAAACTAAGAAAATAATATGGATATAGGAAAAAGGTGCAGTTCAAACGCATTATACAAATCTGATCTTTATAAAGTCTACAGTGTATAAAGAAAAAAGCACTTAAGCGGAGTGAGTGCACAACTTTTAGTCACCAGCCTGTTGACAAGACAACAATGCACTTATTGTCCCCCATGCTTTTCATCATGCCATTTTCTGAAGCAGTTCCTTGTAGGCACAAAGCACAAAAATACACTGCATTTTGAACAGTACACAGGTGTCTTTATTGTGAGTCCTGAAAGTTTGCAAAAGACACAGGTTCTCCTCCCACTGGTGGCATCCGACCCATGATACTCTGGCCAGCACATCTTTTTCTTTGAGTTGACCTTGGTTGTGTGGGGCTTTGATGTGGACGGCTCTGGGTCACATGATGTGGACGTCTTGGGAGCAGCTGATGAGTTGGACGGTGTACCAATCCTAACCAGCTCCGACACAAGTGTCTCTCTAAATTCCTTATGGGTGAGATGGGTCTTATTCTGAGATTTGGACAGCTGCTGGTGGATAATAAAACTGTTCACCACGGCGATATCGATGAAATGAAAAAAAAAGGTCTTGTACCATTTTTGGGTTTTGTGTAGGACATTGTAGTACCCAATTAGAGCATCCGAAACATCCACACCTCCCATATATTTATTGTAGTCCTTCGCTGCTGCTGGAATTGGGATCTCCCTAATTTCCCACTCCTTCTTGGGATTCCTAACACGCCTGGTGATGGTAGCACCATCATATGCCTTGTGCATTGTTGAACACATTGAAACCATCTTTGAGTCCATCCACCTCACAAAGAGGAGCTTACCTTTCCGAAGCCAGCGCATGGACCCCTTTTGAGCTCTGAGGCTGAGGTCATTGGTCATTGTTCTAGGAAAGCCCTGTTGGTGGGAACGTATCGTGCCACACGCAAGTGTCTTTTTATCCAGCAAGTCCAATAAAAGGCCTGGGCTTGTATAGAAGTTGTCCATAAACACCTGGTAGCCTGAGCCAAGAAGAGGAAGATCCAGGAGGCGGATCACAGAATCGTAATTCATTCCTTTACCTGTGGCCACCGAAGATTTACCTTCATAAACAAAGAAGTTCCATGTGTAGGCACAGGCAGAATCAGCAAGAACAAAGAGCTTGTAACCCCACTTGGTAGGCTTGTCCTTCATGTACTGTTTGAAGCCGATTCTCGCCCTAGTAGCCACCATCCTCTCATCCACTGACAGCTGTCTGTTTGGATGGAAGTACGTTTTGCACGCATTGATGATGTCAGTGTAAAGGGGCTTTATTTTGTAAAGTCGGTCATAGTCAGGAGTCCCCTTTTTCAGTGCATTCGCTCGATCCTCCTTAAGATTGCAAAGATGCAGATTCCAATTGATAGCATTAAATCTGGACCTGGACATCACTGATTTTGGAAAAGGTAAACTGTAAATGTCTTTTCTGGACCAGTAGTCTACAATATTTTTTGCACCGAGAAGCCCCATGTAAATAACAAGCGCAATAAACGAATACAGTTCATGTGCTTTCAAAGGCACCCAAGGGAATTTTGCACCAGCTTCAGACCTCATTTTCGCATAACTATTTGTGTTGGTCACAATGGTGTCTATCACAGAGGTCGGGAAGAAAAGCTGAAATAGTTGTAAGGGGGAATAGATTCTGTCCATGACGACCTGAGGTCCTGGGTTTCGCTTTGGATGAAAATTAGGTAGCTCTGGAGCTTCATCCTCCACGCTGATGTCATTCCAAGTGCCTGTGTCACTCTCCACTGACCTGCCACGTGCAGACCTTTTTCTTACCCGTGGAGAATGAGACGTTCCTTTGGGAGTTGACCTTGGACTCAAGGAATCACCAGCACAAGATGTGGGGGTTCTGGGGGTGCAAGGTGTGCTGGTGGGGGACGGAGTGAGAAGACGCTGTTTTTTGGGGGTTGGCTCACTTTCTGGTTCCCATTCTTCATCACTTGAGTATCTGTAACAAACACACAATGGTCAATGATCATGCGCAATACACGTGCATCAATACACGTCACACGTCGAGTACAAGCCTTGTTTATACTCGACGCGTCCGCAAGAGCGCGAAGGTGTGTGTGGCAAAAATTACAGAATTGCAGTGTGTGCGGTCGTGCGCGTTGGGTGCGCAAGACCCCTTTCGCCTGGCGTGTGCATGGCACTTTTTAATAACATTGCGCGTGGCGCACATCCAGAGATGAAATACTTCCAGCTGAATTGGTACGTCTGTACCTGCATGTTTATGATCCTTCTATACACAGAGACATTTGCATTGATGGGCGACCATGAAAGCCTCTCATTTTGTAAATAGGAACACATTTGCACTAAGCACCCAGTTTGCACTTGTCTAAAGTAATTGGTTACATTTACATAATTGAATAAAAAGAGTACTGATTCATAAAAGAGTAAATGCAGTAGGTTTATTGTAGCCTAGTTTCACTGCATGTAAACTAGTTAAACAACTGAAGCCTTATTGAAGAGTGTTTAAACCTTAATTTCATCAGCAGTGCTTACTTCTGCTAGGCTTATTTTGTAAATGTAACCAATTACTTGTTTAGACAAGTGCAAATTGGGTGCTTAATGCAAATGTGTTCCTATATTCACAAAATGAGAGGCTTTTACGGTCGCCCATCAATGCAAATGTCTCTGTGTATAGAAGGATCATAAACATGCAGGTACAGACGTACCAGTTCGGCCAGATGTATTTCATCTTTGAATGTGGCGCCGCGCGCGATGTTATAAAAAGTGCCGAGCACACCGCCAGGCGAAATGCAGTCCACCGCAATGGCGTCATTTTTGTCGCGCGCACCTTCTCTTGCGTGTATAAACACGGCTTTTAACGCGTGCATATGTAAATCGGATTTGTGCACAATGTAATTTTCATGGACATAACATTTGCCTAAATGCAATATGCACATTTATGCACAAAATCTCAACAGAACACGCAAAAGATCCAACAAGCACAATGCAATCCATGCAAGCGAACATATGCACAAATGTGCGGGACAATTCAAATGCACGGAACAACAGATTTATAAACAAAATGCACTGATACACCGTTGATATGAAACACAAAAATAACGTTAAGTGTATCAGGTCACAATGTGTAACGTTAGCTTACGTACTCAAAATCAGTTTCCTCTTCTTCCTGGTCGTAATCGGCTTCTCCCACAGGCTCCTCGTCGCTACTGGACAATTCGTTCTCCCTCACACGACCGACCTCTTCCAAAACAGAATTACCAAAACGCAGCTTTCGGGTAGCTCTACCCTTTCTAGAAGCCATTGTGTCCACAGAAAGAGTGGGCAACGAAACAATGTAGATAAATGCTGTTCAACTTGCTCAAACAAACACACTCAACTTAAAATACATGTGCATTTGCAGAGCGAAACGTGAGTGACCTGCAGCGCTAGTCTGGCAGCAGTTTAGACGAATGGGCAAACCCACTTCCATAGGGCATAACTTCACTGATAAAAAACAGAAAGCTGGGCGACACGATCTGACCAATCAGAATCGAGTATTCCAAATAATTGTATTAATAAACATAAATTAATTAATAAAAACGTTATTAGCATTTTATATTTTTATAAAAAAAAATGTTCCCGTCATAAGCCCATTTCTGCCACTTAAGAGAAAAATGCTTTGAGGATTTATAATTATTACACAAAAAGTATGATAAAAAGATCTAAAAAGCCAAGTCGTAATTATGACATAAAAAGTCATGATTAAACTGGGCATAAAATTTGGATATAACATGAAACAGCAGTGAAATAATATATATATATATATATATATATATATATATATATGAGGGGGAAATGGTACAAAATAAAAGTCATAATTTTAAAATAGTTATGACATAATTATTACATTAAAATACAAATGTAATAAAATATCATTTTTTCTCTCACAACTTTTTTGCTCCTAATAATGTCATAGTTTTAACTTTGGCCTAGTTTTTTTTCTCTCACAATTTTAACTTTGTATCTCATATTTTTGACTAAGATGTCATACATTTTTATTTATTTATTTATTTACCAAATAATCATTACTTACTATCTCATTATTTTGATTTTTTAAATTTTATTTCATAACTTTGATTTTTTTTCTTTAGGGCGGAAATTTCATATTGAGTATGTCTTTTGTTATAGTATTTCTGTAATTATTTTGCATATAATATTTCTGTCATTCTACAGCATGGGTCAACTGTTGTTTTTAATTGTGTTTTATGAATAAATAGAGTTGACATTGAAACTGTAAATATATATATATATACATAGCCTGATGTAACATGTAGCAGACTGAACTGTAATATATTGCAGCCTCTGCAGATATATATATCCCTAAAGTAAACCTCCTCAATAAGAAACCATTTATTCTAAGACACACCAGCAGAGGTCATGAATCAACCCTGCATGCTTTCAATCTTCACTATGAGCGAAGATTGTGCTCATAGTGATGGGAATTAATGGGAATTAATGGGAATTAGAGAAAAAAAAACTTGCTCAGCATATGAAATATTTTACAATATTCATATATTAACAGGAGTTAATTTGATTCGGTCTTGATGTCATTGGGGTGATCAGGGGCCACCAATGTGTGCAAACATCCACAAGACATAAACCAAAAGCACAGTAATATTGGCAAGGGTTGTTGAAGGTGTAATTGTCTGAAAATACATAGATTTTTTGAAAGAGCTATAATCACTGTTAAAGGACTATGTAATAATGCATTTAAGACAAAATTTCAGCACAGAAAAAATAAAGCACAAATCTGCAGAAAATGAAACCAAAGCACTGTTCTGCCAATATTACTTTTTTAAAAATATTCTGATCAGTTAAAAATCTCTTCAAATTGTCATACGGAGTTTATTTAACGTGTGTTACTGACAAGGAAGGAGGATAGGGGTTCTTTCTTGAGGCACAAAAGATAAATCTAAAATATTTTAGAAATTATAGTAGTCTTATAATAAGCATAACTTGTTATATTTTATGTGAATGAATAAATAAATAAATTAATTAATTAATACAGCTTATAGTTAGTAGGCTAAGCTGATGTTCTGTCCATTCTTAATTCATTAGCCACTTGCTACTTAAAAATATTAGTATGTGCAGTATTTTTAGTGAGTAATGTTAGAAGCAAGTTAAGCTAACGTTACCTATTAGCGTGCGTCCCCTTTAAGAGGTGCAGGGTGGAGCCGTACAGGAAGTGAAGTGTCAACGCACGTCTCGCCAAAGCAGAGAGAAAGAGAGAGAGAGAGCTACCGACCTCCGCTTTGATGAACCATATTAATAATTATTTCACCCCTACACTGCTGCATAGTGAGCTCAAAATAGAGGTATGCCCAGTGCTTGTTTACCAAGTTCATATTATCCATAGTTATTTATAGAAATGCCAATTAACGACCAAATAACAGCATTTGTTTGCATAAGTCAAGTTAGACGTGGGTCAGGGGTGCTGCTGCTCAATGTTTATCCTAGCAACGGGTTTCCGTTATTTTCCAAGGGGTTTTTAATAACAATGGGTCCGCGGAGAGCTCGTGCCTACTAGTAATCACACACTACGAGCTAGTGCGCGAGCCGAGCGCCCCTGTAGACTCCGGTAGATTCCTAGAAAGTTACCCAAAATTTGGCACCATTGTTTTATAGGGGCGTGGGCTCATCTCGAACCCCGAGAACATGTTTGTCCTAAGTGAGTGCGAAGTGAACGTAATTGAGTGTGAATATCATTTTTGAACTGATTCATTGGAATGATAATTACAGTATCACGTTATAATTAATCAATGTTACGACATTTTAGCCAGAAAACGTTATTTTTATTATATGTATAAGACTAATATAAGACTCTACTATGTACAAATATAGATATTAATGTCAATTTAGTCCATATACAAATATTATATAAATATTTAAAGCTATATAATATGCTGAAAATCCAAAGGTAAAAGGTTTTAAATGGTTATTTAAATAAGGGTCAAATATTGCCTGGGAATAAAAAGATAAAAAATATTTTTTAATAAGTTAATTATAAATTAATTTGCTTGTATGTTTGTTTGGTTAGATAAATGTATCAAATCTGGTTCCATTGCCAAATAATGAGAATTATTTTTATCAAAAATATATATTTTTTTAATTTCAAGACCTTAAAAGTCATTAATTTTTTTTGGGTTTATCTTTATTTCTCTGTTTAATTCTAATTATAGTTTCTAAAATATTTTATTTGCTGGATATTGCACGTTGTCTTCAGTTTTAGAATCATTTGTACACTATTGGGTATACATTCTTTAAATATTAGTACCAGCTTTACAGGAAACAACATGGGTGTGATTTTGATTAATTTCAATTTTAAATGTAGGCTACACTATGTAACAATTTTTTTTTTAACATTTCAAAACTACATGCCTTTTGTCGAAGGACATTGTTTAGGTTGTGATTGTGCAGATGAATATGATTCTTCCTCATAGAGAAAGAGAGATTATCCCACTACACTTAAAATATTTACTAATAGGTTTAAAAGAGATAACTAGTTTAGATTGAAAGAACTCAGGCTAACTAGTGTATGACATTACTCGAGTTATACCTATACGCATTAATAGACACTTCATTGAAAATAGCAGCACAGCGCTACAACATAATGAAATGACCCTTCAAGTTCACAATAAATAATGCTTTAGAATGCTTGAACTCTTTATCTTGTTTAATAAAATGCCTTACTCACCTGTTGAGTAATAAAAACAGCATCTCCGCGTTGCTTTTACTCGCCATCTCTGAAAAGCCAGGCCAATGTTGATTCTCGTTTTATTACAAGCTCCGTCATGTTCTCTTTTTGCCAGCAGACTCTCCTCTCACGTTTTGGAACAAGGATTGATGATGTTTTGACCCAATATTTAAATTTTGTTCATTTTGAAAGTATAAAACTGCTTAGTCTACCTTTATATGGTGCTAAAGTTGATAAATCTCCTCAGACTCTGCTGCCATCTGCTGGTAAGCTGGAGAACTGCAGCACTGGCGTCATGGTGAAGGATGTTTCGAAAGGTCAAGAAGCGCCACAGCAGCAGCAGCTCCCAGAGCAGTGAGATCAGCACTAAAAGCAAGGTCAGTTCACCAGAAGTAATCAAGTACGCGTGTCATAAACCAAATGTTGGCTGAATCTCCATGTGTGTGCTTTCTATACCTAGCAGAAAGCACATACTGCATTAGTTATGCTAAATGACATACTTAAAGTAGGAATTGACCCAGTATGCTTGTACTACAATATAATAAAATGGCACTAGTATTATTACTGTGACTAGTATCACAGTATTAGCTCAAAAGGCATGCGTGGATTCATAATACAAAAAAAAAAAGTACAACATGCTATGATGTGGGACCTAATATTTTATAAAAGAGTCTGTTGACTCCTGTATTCCACCTAGTTCATTATAAGTTGTAATTTCCCTTTTTACAGTCAGTAGATTCCAGTTTGGGAGGCCTGTCTAGGTCAAGCACAGTCGCCAGTCTTGATACAGACTCCACCAAGAGCTCAGGTTAGTCCTCAATGAAACGCACACGTGTATATTTTTGATTCCGTAAGAGTTCCTGACCTTGTTGACCCTTCAGGTAACGCTGTGTCTGACACGTGTGCTGAGTTCAGAGTCAAGTATGTGGGAGCCATCGAGAACCTGCAGTTTAACATGAGCAAAACCCTTCAGGAGCCTCTAGACCTGATCAACTTCATTGATGCAGCTCAGGTGAGGATCTACAGAAGGGGAAGATGTAACACCCTTAAAGGTGCAGTGAGCGATTTCTAAGAAACACTGTTGATATTTGAAATCAACCCAAACCAAAGACTGGCATAAGATTGGGCTTTCCTAACTTCAAGAGGCAGAGAATTCCAAAGAAAAGGCGCTGTCACCCATAGACTTTAAGTGAGTTTTAGGCAACAACCAGGAACACCTTAGGAACCTTTAAGAACACCTCAATTTTGAGGAGCGCAATCTGCAATTCGGAGTGTAAAGGTGCAACCAATTGGGAGCCAATGTAAGTCTAACCAACCTAACTGGGAGCCAATGTAAGTCTCTTCTCCCCTATCATGTGTTGGCACGCCCCCTACTGCTGATTGGCTACAATATTGTTTAGTTGCTCGGCCTGATCCACTATAATCAGTATTTCTCAGAAATCTTCTCAGACCTCTAATCTTGCGAACTGTATTTTACTGTAAAAAAATAAAAAATAAATTTTGTCTGACGCTGTTTAAAAACTTAATCTCATGTATTCACTTTAAACAGCAAGACGGAAAACTGCCGTTTGTGCCTGGAGATGAGGAAATGATTCTGGGAGTGTCCAAGTATGGAGTTAAAGTGGCCTCATTAGACCAGTGTGTGAGTTGACCCAATGTCATTGTTAACTATGAGATATTTGGCTCTTTTTTTTTTTTTACACAAAATAAAGGAGCATGTTGGGAGAAGCTTGAAATTCATGTTCACAAAATAATGTGGAACTGCATGTCTTGAAACCGAACATCTATCTACTGTACGTACCGCTATGAAATACAGGATTTCAGTGTGATGGCTGGGTATCTGATTTATAATCGATTCTTTCTCAGGAAGTGCTTCACCGCCACCCGCTCTACCTGATTGTGCGTATGCTTTGCTATGATGATGGTCTGGGTGCTGGAAAGAACCTGCTCGCACTGAAGACCACTGATGCCAAGCAACATGACTGCAGCATCTGGGTGTATCAGTGCAGTAATGCGGTAAGACCTGAAGACAGGAAGTGTTTCTGAGAGCATATCTGATAATGTAACGAAAATATTTACTATTTAATACAGCCAGATCAGAGTCTGCAAAGTGTCACGAGGTGGCGTTAAACATCCTCATGTCTCAAAACACATAACATTACATTTATAACGAATGTAAACAACTTCGAATTCACACTAACGTCGGGCTGAACTGTGCGGTTCACACTACATGACTTGCTCTCAGTGAAATCAGGAGTGTTCAAGTTGTTTAGCTGTTCACACCACACAACACAACGTGATTGATCCACAACAGGAGGTAACTCACTACACGAGTTGACAACGCACTACATAGAGATACAACCACGATCCAATGATAATAAGAGCAAATCATTTGTGACTCAATGAGAGCTGTTTCAGTTCTATGGTACGGTCTAAATCCTGAAAATAATCAAATAAATAACGAGTTGACAACAACTTTGTGCCTCAACGATTCTATCTCGTCTACAAACCATGTTTTCTCATGAAAAACCACGCAATAAAACGAACCAGAAATGACGCAAAACAGCACGTGATGTCCAAATTCACAACACGTGAATATGGACGTCAGACAGAAACTAGTGCTGCACACTGTTTGCGCGACGATCTGCTCTGAGAAAAAAGCAAAAAAAAAAAGAAAAACTAAGATTTACCTGGTGTCTCAACCCATGCGTTGCTATCTCCCCTTTCACACAGAGATTCCAGAAAATACACGGATAATGTGACCCAGCATTTGATCAGTTTAATGCATCCTTGCTGAATAGAAGTATTAACTTTCAAAATGTCTGCAAACTTTTTGAATGGTTGTGAACATAGAGTACTCATTTAACACACCATTTTTGTGCTCTGCAGGAACAAGCCCAGGCCATCTGTAAAGTCCTGTCCACCTGTTTCGACTGTGCTCTGGCCTCAGAGAAGTCCTGAGGAGTGCTGGGAACGCTCCTGTTCTTCCACCCTCACCGGTTCCTTCAGCAGGACGAGGAAGTCAGTCTGTTCGTAGAAGGCGCCCTTTTTAAAACAGAAATGCTGGAATTTGTTAATGTTAGTACAGCTGTTCGGTCTTTGTTCGGTATGAAAGAGCAGCCATCTCAACCACGTTTACACCATATTCATTAGTCTTACCCAGCATCCTCTTCTCCAAACAGCCCCACCCCAACCCAAAAGTCCAAGTTTGGGCTGTGTCTATTTTTGTAACCTAATTTAATCTTATTTAATGTAAATATACAACAACCTCAGAGCACATTTCCCACCATGGGCCAGTGAATGCGTGATTTCTTGGGCTCTACTGGGATTCGTGTTAAGTGTGGTACATTAGTGTCAGTGGAACACAAAGATGCTGTAAAACCCAAACCCCCTGCGCCCTGTATCCTACACTTCTGAACATGCCCTTCTTCTGTTGTCCTCCTCCAGTGTCCTGGTCCAAGTGGGATCGGATCAATAAATCCAGTACGGTACAATAAATCAATGCGAATGTAATCTGGAGTTTCTGGAGTTTTTTTTCCCTTATCCCCCAATAGATGGCAGTGCTCTTTAACCTATTGAGTTATGGACTTCTGTTTTCAAATGAATACAAAAACATCTCACAGATGGGGGAGGTTATTCATTGTCCCTTTATCTGTCAGTTTCACTTAATCTACCTGAATAATGCAACGCATGAACGGAATTAAAAACTGAGTTTTGTTTTTTTTTATTCCAGTTTTCCCATTTATTTGTACATATATGCATATATTTATATATTAGCAACAATGACGTTTATGGTAAACGGATGAATAGAGGTTGTTTTCATCTTAATTAAAAGTCTTATCTAACAAAACGCCAGTTTAGCTCTCTGTTTACAATTAAATATGCACAAAGCAAAGTCTACATTTATTTACAATCGCAGCCGGCCCGGTGCCGTCCGTATACATTGAGCTACATCCCGTCACTGCCCGAGTTACAGGTCACTCTGGCCCGAGCTCAATCAAGACTAACATGACTGTAATTAAAAGTTACATAACAGACTCTATTAAGTTGCTCTGCAACCACATCAAACACTCATGACATTAAAAACGCTCCTGCACACAATTACTGATGGATGAGCATTTCAAAGCTTTAGAAAGGATTAAGAGAAGTGTTGTGAGGGAAATATGACATGAGGGATTTTAATTTCCCCTGGAATACAATTAGCGCTAGAGAAAGAAAGAGATGCCGAGTTATTACTGGTACAGGGAACACCCATCTGGCCAACCAAAAGCTGGGAGATTCAGGGCACATCCTGGTTGGTGGAAATACAAATAATCCATAACTCCAGACACCTTGAAATCTGTTAAAAATGACAAGGTTTTAGTGCACTCATGCTGAAAACGTGTTCATGTTCTATACACCAAAGGAAGGTAAGAGATTCTTAAAGAGTTAGTTCACCCAAAAATGAAAATTCTGTCATCATTTGCTTTTAAACCTGTATGACTTTCTATCTAGCCAGGAAAAATTTGAAGAACGTCAAGAGTGCTTTTTCCATAATGATGACAGGCAAATTGTAAAGTGGTCCATATAACACAAGCACTGCATTTCAAGTACACTGACTGAACCCATATGTTGACTACAATCAACAAATTAAAGTTGTGTTTGTTTAAAAAATTACACGTGTCAAGTTGGACGTCATTGGTTTTTCATGTCGAGGCAGGTTTGATTTTTAGCGTATAAAAGTCTTCCCAATCCAAACCTGAATGACTTTTTTTTTCTATGAAACACAAAAAAAAATATTCTTCAAAAATTCATCTTTTGTGTTCCACAGAAGAAAGCAAGTTACACATGTTTGGAACGACATGAGGATGAGTAAATATGACAGAATTTCCCTTTAAATATTGGTCTGTTCCTCACACAGTTACAGTAGGGCTTCAGAAGACTTTGAATATCGCAAACGAATCTTACAGACCACTTTTAACGTGCCTAACGTTAACAGTCCCCATTTTGAAAAAGCACTCTGCACATTCTGCAGTGTATGTTCTTTTGCACAGTTTGAAAGAACATGAGGGTGAGTTAATGACCGAATTTTCATTTTTTGGTCTATAGCTTTAAGAAAGAACGGGCCAGTTGAGAAATGACAGCGTTCCACAGGCCTCTCATGGCAAACTGCCTACACACTGAAGGAAGGTCTGCAAAAGATCATTAAAACCAATAAGAGCATCTAAATCAAGACCACAGAAGGACAGCTCAGAATTATAAATATCTATACAGAAATAAACCTTCTTGATGCTCTTCACTGGCTCCTTTCCTCTTCCCTGGAGACTGTCAGAGCGCTCAAAACTCCCAGCAGGTACAGAGTCAACATTTCTTTCATTAAGTCTTCCTGTTCCCAGTCCCTTAGCCAGAACAAAAGCGCTCTTATGTCTGTCTGTTTCTCCATCTCTTTCAAATCATCTCTGTCTGTTTCTCCATCTCTGTGAAAATGGGGACATCGGAGCTCCCCCTCCTAGGGCAGACGGCTCTCGTAGCATATTCCTGGCCTTAGCACCATTGACGAAGCTATCTTTCCCAACCGATTCCTCAAAAGTCAGTGATTCTCAGAGTATCCTTCTGCCTTTCCTTGCCAGACGTGGAATGTGGGCAAATAAGACTATATTCACAGATAATGTGTACTTTTCTTCAAAACCTTATGCTATTTATTATGTCTAAAAGGAATAAGGATGTGAATTATCTCAGAGTAAAACCTTCATCTTGGTGACATCCTTCTCAGCATTGTGGTCACGATAAATTAAGTCAAAAGTGCATTTATTGCAACAAACTGTCGTTCTGCAACATCTAGGCCACAAAGCCCAGGTGACTGCTCAAGCCAGGTGAGAGCAGGGATTAGTGGAAGCTCAGTGAGGACACAAGCTTCAGGAGAAAGGGAATACCGATGATGATGATGATGATGGTTAGAGAGGACACCTTCCAGCTCAGTGTCCGTGATCTCCGGCCCTTCAGTCCATAATGAATTGCACGAATGTGACAGGAAACGCTCCTCTTCTCATTGGCTCTCCCTCAATGTGGCCCAGCTACAAAAAGATCAAGAGAAAGTGTATTAGAAATGTTGGTCACACTTTACTTGAAGGGGTGTGCATAAGACTGACATGACACCTTCATAACCATGACATATGTCTTGAATATGAAGTAAGGTTTATGCATGTTTATGACAAATGTTTTTAAGTGTCTTTCGCTCAATAATGACCTTTTGAATGCGTAGTTTTTAATTTACTCACCCCCATGTCATCCAAGATGTCCATGTCTTTCTTTCTTCAGTCGAAAAGAAATTAAGGTTTTTGATGAAAACATTCCAGGATTTTTCTCCATATAATGGACTTCAATGGGAACCAAACGGTTCATGGTCCAAAAGACAGTTTCAGTGCTCACTTTCAAATGCTCGCCTTGCTCTGTTCTGTGATGCGCGTTCGTGACTCTCCTGTTCATCAAAATTAATTAATCTTTTCGTTCATTTCTTTCGTTGAATCAACCAAATGACACGAAAAAAGATTTGTTCATTTTGATGAATGAGTTCGAACAGGAGAGTCACGAACGCGCATCACAGAACAGAGCAAGGCGACCATTTGAGCTTATAAAACTTAAACTTTTTTTTTTTTTTTTTAAATGAGCGATAGTTTCGCTTGATAAGACCCTTATTCATCGTCTTTGAACAGTTTGCAGTTTGCACTGGAACTGTCTTAAACCGTTTGGTTCCCATTGAAGTCCATTATATGGAGAAAAATCCTGGAATGTTTTCATCAAAAACCTTAATTTCTTTTTGACTGAAGAAAGAATGACATGGACATCTTGGTTGACATGGGGGTGAGTAAATTATCAGCAAAAGTTGTTTTTTTTAAGTGAACTACTCCTTTAAGATGTCATGTTGACATAAACCATAACATCATAACCTGCAGTGTCTTTGTCATGACAAAGACATTCATATGTAAATAGCACTGAAGTCACACAGGTAACACAGAGATTTGGCTTTACCATTGATGAGCCTCCATGGAGAATGAATGACTAAACACAGCCAATGAAAACGTTGTTTAGTTGTTTTCCAGAAAGAGACACTGAACCAGACCGCGGCCCTCAGTGAGTTTACTTATTAACAACCAGCCAGTAATATTAAGGGAAATACAGTAAACTCACCTTTCTTCTCTGGTTCTCTCTCTCATACCACTGCTACTATGTAAAGTGAGTCCTCTAGATAGAGTTGAAGTCTAGTGTGCGGCAGTCAGGATACTCACCCACCACTCATGGTCCTCCTCACCATCCACAACGATGACCTCTCCCTCAGAGAACGTCAGCTCATCTGGATTATCAGCCACACAGTTATACATGGCCTTCACACGCTTCGGCTTCTGCTCGCCACACCGATCAGGTTTGGAAACACAAGAACATGTCACTTAGTATATGTTATGTAAATATGGCATATTAGGTGGTATCCATCATGAATTCATGTCTGGAATTTCCTCTTGTGGTTAAACATACCAGGTAGGTTTTCCTGGGCATTTGGGTAGCGGGCAGAGTTTGACCAATGGTGTTTTGGGGGCCTCCAGGAACTTTAGCTGTTTAACCAAAAAAACAAACAAAATGAAAACAGGAAATGGCATCACTGTCAGAATTGGCTTTTCAATACAATAATGGCAGCAAGCCTTTTATTTAAAACAATCAACTTACAGTTAACATGGTTTCTCTGACATCTACCTGGTCTCTCGATGGATCCAGAGCGCATCAGTGTGCTTTTACTGAAGGTTTTGTCCGCGCTGCAGCCAACAAAAAGAAGAGATGTGAATATTGTGTTCAGTTCTTGTAATATTGAGTACTAAAAGTAACAATATTTAGACTCGGGTCATGCTCAGATGAGTTCCCTACTTGTGTCGTCCTCTGGCACTGTGTGCGTGAATGAGGACTTGAATAGGAATTAATGACCTGGTAAATCAGCAGTTCCCTATGGGCATTTTCCACCTCTGCATCCAGATAAGGACACGCTCACCTTTTAAAGGAGTCAGACTCGCCAAACACTGGAGAAAGTACCACTCAACGACTAGCGGCTAACCGCAGCTACAATGAGTCTGTGTTGTCCTATAGGGCCGGACTGTCAGAGTAGAGGGCATGTGTGTGTGTGCATGTGGTCATGGGTTATTTAGTATTCTGACCTTGTAGCCCGGTTGACGTTCTGACCAGGAGGGCCGTGTCCAGGTTTGGGTTGTATATTCTTGGCCTCCATCATACTGGCAGTTTTAGCCAAAGGAGGGGGAGCACCGCTAGGCACAAGAACTGCAGAGAACATTAAATAGATGCAATTATGTTAAACATAAACAGCTCACAATTACTAAAAAAAAACCACAGATGTTTCAATATTTTATTTTTGACAATATTGGTAGCAGGGTTCCCACACTTGAATTTCCATGACTTTCCTGTTTTCCTTGATTTCTGGATAAAGATGTATATTTGTCACACTTTAGTTTAGGGTCAAATTATTAACTACGACCTCAATAAACTCCTGAATTACGTACTGCTTATTAATAGTTGTTAAATTTATAGGATTAATTAGAAATTATACATTTCTTTAATCCACAATATTGTCATTATTTTTAATAACTATTTACCTTTGTTTTGGGTTTGTCTTGTTTATAAAGGTTAAGAATATTTGTTTTATTTTGTTGCCTGTTTGCGAATTAGAAAAAGAATAAATGTATTACTGATAACAAAAATTATACATTTAAAATATACTGATATTAAATAGGCTTTTTTAGTTTAAAATATAGCTTATGTATGGCTGATTAAATGTAAAGGAGAGCATAACTAGAGTCACTGTAATAATAATGATATATAAATAATAAAACATTTAAAATATTCTTTACATTAAATAAAACATTTTTCGATATCTCATGCTATTTCAAACAGTTAAAAGTAACTTTTTGACCCTGAATAGGAGTAGTTCACTTAAAAAACAAAACAAAACTTTTGCTGATAATTTACTCACCCCCATGTCATCCAAGATATCCATGTCATTCTTTCTTCAGTCGAAAAGAAATTAAGATTTTTGATGAAAACATTCCAGGATTTTTCTCCATATAATGGACTTCAATGGGAACCAAACGGTTCAAGGTCCAAAAGACAGTTTCAGTGCAAACTGCAAACTGTTCAAAGTGCTTTTAACGATTCCAGACAATGAATCAGGGTCTTATCAAGCGAAACGATCGCTCATTCAAAAAAGAAATAAATAAAAGTTTAAGTTTTATAAGCTCAAATGCTCACCTTGCTCTGTTCTGTGATGCGCGTTTGTGACTCTCCTGTTCGAACTCGTTCATCAAAATGAACGAATCGTCTGAAATCGTTTAAAGCCCTTTGAACAGTTTGCAGTTTGCACTGAAAGTGTCTTTTGGACCTTGAACTGTTTGGTTCCCATTGAAGTCCATCAAAAACCTTAATTTCTTTTCAAATGAAGAAAGAAAGACATGGACACCTTGGATGACATGGGGGTGAGTAAATTATCAGCAAAAGTTTTTTTTAAAAGTGAACTACTCCTTTAAGAGAACAAAAAGACATATCTGAGCACATAGAGATCTTTAAATCCCCCAACACATGAACTAAATGAAAGAGAATGACAGCGAGCTTGTTTTTGGAAATCGAAAAACCACCAGAATTTTTGAAGCCTGATACCTTGTATTGGTTCATGAATAACAATTAGGCTATGTGATTAGACAAACTCAACTCACAAACACAGCATAACCTAATTAATATTCATACGTTTAGACACCGCCATGACATCACAACCAGGTGATCCAGGATCAATCAAAGAACAATCTGACTCAAATCTAATCTCAACACAAAGCACCACGTGAAACAGAAGCGCTCGGCCTCGAGCAAAAGCTCATCCACTCATTCATGTACAGCCAACTCACGGGAAGTGGATGTGACCCGTAAAGGGGGCGCTGGGGGGTGCATGTTGGGGGGGTCAGAGGAAGATCTCTGCCTGCCGGTCAGATCTAGGGAGCCAGGCTTCCAACCGGGCGATCCCTGAGCCATTCCAGCAAGACCAGACGGCTGTACTGTGGGAAGAAGAGAAGACGGAAAAAAAAAGATGAAAAGAGAGGACAGCGCTTTTGTTAACTCTTATTCTGGACTTTGGTCCTGCTCCAGACCTGCAGAGATCCATTATGCATCTCATTTCATTAGTGTCTTATGGGATTCACTTCAAAGCCTCACTCTTGTTCTAACACAGAAATCAGTGTCTTTTTTTTATCCAAGTGAAACTCTTAACAGACCAATGGGCTATATGCACGCATAAGTTCCGCATTTGACTTAAGGATGCTCGTCCATTTCCGGTTGTGTAGATTAAAGCGGAGGAAAACCGGAGAAAACGGGATTATGGCTTAGTCTTCAATATTTACTGTCCTCCCGTCTTTGAAACGAAACGTACATACGTTTAGATGTAATTTTATATATAGTTATGTTTATTTAATATAATTTTAAAAAGAAGCATAAACACAACGAGGGGTGTCTGTTTTATCTGTTTTTGTGACTAACGTTTCATTAGTATAACCATGGAGTATAAAATTCAATATAAATTCTCGTTATTGCATTGGACTCTATGATCAGCGGAAGTTATCGAGCATCCCTAATCCTTCACCGGAAATAACGCCGTGCATAGAGCCCATTCCACCAATCTCCTGTTTACTGGCATCTCCCTCATGTTATCTTAACAGACCTCCAAGTCCTTATGAACATTTCTGAAAGCGTTTGAGCTCATAACGGCTCCCTGTCCAGAGACTTTGGGAGCGCACATATAGGTCAGAATCTTCACACGGCCGTTGTCATGGAGCTCTGCAGTGCAACTGGGTGAGGGTGAGAATTCAAGAACAGGTCAAAGAGATTTCTGCCATTTTAAGACCTGACATTTGTGAGGCTAAAAATACAGCAGCCAGTTGTGGCCTGAACAGAATTAGTGACTCGTAGAATTATTTGCTTTTTGTGTACGTTTAGTATATTTTTCATTTACAATTATAAATATTAACAAAGTGGATGATTTAAAAAAAAAAAATTTGAAGTGGTTCAAATGTATGCTAGACATTTTATATACACACACTCACCGGCCACATTATTAGGTACACCTGTTCAACTGCCCCTAAACACAAATATCTAATCCAGCTACTCGATATGATCAACACGATCTGCTGAAGTTCAAACTGAGTGTCAGAATGGGGAAGAAACTTGATTTAAGTGACTTTAAATGTGGCATGGTTGATGTTTGGGCTGGTCTGAATACATCAGAAAATGATTTACTGGGATTTTCACACATAACCATCTCTCAGGTTTACAGAGAATGGTCAGAAAAAGAGAAAATACACAATGGGTGGCAGTTCTGTGGGTGAAAATGCCTTGCTGATGCCAGAGGACAAAGGAGAATGAGCAGATTTGTTCAGCTGATAAAAAGGCAACAGCAACTCAAATAACCAATCGTTACAACCGAGGTTTGCAGAAGAGCATCTTTGAACACAACACACCGAACCTTGGAGCAGAGAGACTACAGCAGCTGAGAAGCTAAGCTGCCAGCTAAGAACAGGAAACTTAAGTACAATTCGTATGGGCTCACAAAAATGGGATAATAGAAAAAAACGCCTGATTCAGAATTTGGTGTAAACAACATGATAGCATGGATGTGTCCAACAGGATAATGTCACAAATCTCAACTCTTCTCAAACTGGTTTCTTAAACATGAAAATTAGTTGATTATACTCAAATGGCCTCCACAGTCACCAGATCTCAGTCCAATAGCACCATAGCACCTTCGGGATGTGGAGGAACGGGAGATTCGCATCATGGACGTGCAACTGTGTGATTCTATCATATCAATATGGACCGAAATCTCAGGAATGTTTTCAGCACCTTGTTGAATCTATGCCACAAAGAAGGAAGGCAGTTCTGAAGACAAAAGGGACTTTTTCTTCTCTCAATCAGTGTTTTTTTCTTTTATCTGAGTGAAATGTAAAGTACCTAAATTTCGGGGTGGTAGAGGTGGAGCAGAAGTGGAAAGGGTGACTGGTGAGTTGGTGTTGATAATGGTCCCATAGGTCTCGTTGTTGACCAGGTTGGGCACGAACCGCTGCTTGTCTTTGACCATTTCTCGAGCGTCTCGTGCCAGACTGGGCTGAAGGGAGTTACTGCCCGGAGTGTAGCAGCTGATGGGCCTCTCGTCCCGCCGGTGAGGACTGGACTATAGACACAAATATCATAAGTGGGACTGAGTAAGCACATTGAATATTCAACAAAAAAGAGAAAAGAAATCACAACAGATTTTGCAAGAAAAACCTAAATTAATCAGCATTTTAACAATTGAGATGATTACAAAGCACTTATTATTTGGTCAATTTAATATTTGGACTTCAGCAAAATATGCGCTTTGAAATGCGGAATCAGTTCAAACTCTCTAAGAAAACGGATTAAATATAATCCAATATAATTCTTTCTTGTGTTCATTTAGTTAAAGGAGTAGTTCACTTAAAAAAACAAAAAACAAAAAACTTTTGCTTGTAATTTACTCACCCCCATGTCATCCAAGATATTCATGTCATTCTTTCTTCAGTTGAAAAGAAATTAAGGTTTTTGATGAAAACATTCCAGGATTTTTCTCCATATAATGCACTTTTACTGGGAAAGGGCTTTAAACGATTCCAGACGATGAATAAGGGTCTTATCAAGTGAAACGATCGCTCATTTAAAAAAAAAAGTTTACGTTTTATAAGCTCAAATGGTCGCCTTGCTCTGTTCTGTGATGCGCGTTTGTGACTCTCCTGTTCGAACTCGTTTATCAAAATGAAGAATCTTTTTTCGTGTCATTTGGTTCATTCAACGAACGAAATGAACGAATGGACTCAGAAAAAGATTAGTTCATTTTGATGAACCAGTTCAAACAGGAGAGTCACAAATGCGCATCACAGAACAGAGCAAGGCGACCATTTGAGCTTATAAAACTTAAACTTTGTTTGTTTGTTGTTTTTTTTTTTAAATGAGCGATCGTTTCGCTTGATAAGACCCTTATTCGTCGTCTGGAATTGTTTAAAGCCCTTCGAACAGTTTGCAATGAAACTGTCTTTTGGACCTTGAACCGTTTGGTTACCAGTAAAATGCATTATATACCTTAATTTCTTCTCGACTAAAGAAAGAAAGACAAGGATGACATGGGGGCGATTAAATTATCAGCAAAAGTTTTTTTAAAAGTGAACTTACCCTTTTAAAACAGCATTGAAAACATGCTTTGATTGTTTTTTATGATATTTTAATCTACTCTGCTACAATAACTATTTAAATGGAAACTAAATATCTACACACACTAAATTAGGCATTAGCTATTACTAAATATCAACACATATACACACAAATATAGACCATTTCACAAGATGTAAACAACACTGGTCCAGAAGCACTTCCTGTTTCAGTTTGTAACTGTTTTCTTTATTTCACATGTAAAAAAAACATCTTAAAGATGTTTGTTTAACTTTTTGATTCATTTTTAAATGTTCTGTCGGTTGTATTTTATCCCAGCTTTTATGTAGTGTTAAAAAACTGAAACAGGAAGTGCTTCTGGACCAGTGTTGTTTACATCTTGTGAAATGGTCTATATAAGTCGAGCAAAATCTAACACAACCAAAATACTTTTCCTTCAGGAGTTTTCCTCACCTTCTCGTCCAGATCTTCATCACTCTCGTCCAGGTCTTCATGCTGAAGTCTCCACTCGTACTCCACATGCACATGAGCATTGAACTTCCCTGCAAGTGCCTGGTTCAGCTAAAAGAGAGCCGAGCATCCCATAAACAACATCTTACGGGCCAGTTATCTCGCATATTAAACTACAAGAACTTTGCGTGTACAACATGACAGCTCACCAGTTCCTCACACTGCAGGTGTTTGAGTCGCCTGGCGATGTCAAGCGGGGTCTCGCCAGCCTCATTAGCTAAATATACACAGAAACACATTTCAAGAGGAGGATACACTGGTTTGATACATTTTAGAAAGCATCACAGTCGCCAAGATGGAAACAATGAGGTTCCCAACACATTCTGTACTCTTGGCTTCCTGTGCTGAATTTGACTTTACAGACCAGACAAAGCCAAGTCGATCCAGACAGCTTGCTCACAAAAGACGCTGGCAGGGATCTGAGAGGAGATTCCCTGGCACAGATTCACCCACCCACATGCACACACGCACAACCGCTAGGCCACATATGACTCCCTGTTATCTTTTCGTCCTATTCTTGGTTCAAATCACCACGCTAACTTTCCCAGCAGTCAAAATAAGAACATGTGTGAGAACAACATCCTGAAAAGTGCCATCAGACAAATCAAGGATCCTGGTAATTCCTAAAAAACATCATGAAAGGGACCCCGTTGATATGTCACACCCCAAACTTCCTGTTTCAACAGGGACTACGAGAGATTTGATTTGCTGCATACCGATGTCTATAGAGGCTTTTCCTCTCAGCAGAAGTTTGAGACACTCGCTGTTGTCCGTCAGGCAGCAGTAATGCAGCGCTGTACTTCCTTTAGCCGTTTGCTTATCCAAGTTTAAACTGAGGGTAGAAACACACAATTTTGCCTGTTTAGAAAACATTACATCTCAATTTTTCCACTCTAGGCACAGCTATAATTGCCTGTTTAACATTCAAAATCGGCGCTTTTAAACAGCTTTGGTCAAATCAATGACAAAAAAAGCCGTTCATTCAGATTTAGTTGTTGGGTAGCATCAGTCAGCAAAGAGGGGAAATAAATTCGGGAAAGATGTTTTCCAGCCTCTGCTCGGCTGTCTGAGTCTTGCCTGTTCTGGGTGAGGAAGTCTATGATGTGAAGGGAGGTTCTGTCCACCAGTCTCACAGCCAGATGAAGGGCGGTCTCACCTTGTTCCTACCACACCAAACAAACAAACAACATGACGTTTATACAGTAGCTTAAAAGACACTCTTGACTGAATAGACCATGATATTTTGGGCCAATTAACCATACAGAACACTTATGTAATCTTTCGTGAAAATATAGTCTGTTCAGTTTTATGTAGTAGTTTGCATGTTCTCCTTGTCTCCTTGTGTCAATCTAAACACATGCAGTATACGAGAATTAGAGAGGCTAAATTGTCCCTAGTAAGTGTGAATGTGTCTGTGTGTGTGTGAGACTCCCAAGTCACATGATGGGGAGGGTTGGGGAAAGACCTGACGACCTACCCCGGAAATATCATCCTCAAGAAAATACATGGACAGTCTCTTGCATATGGCGAATATGACTGAAATGGTTGATGAATGATGTTGATGATTCATGTGAAACAAAAATATTTATTAAACTCAAAAATCACACATATACATATATAGGGCAATATTATATAGTATATATATATATATATATATATATTAGTACTTCAATATTTTATTTTATTTCAAATGCCAATATATTAGATAAATCCACATAAAAAATAACTAAAAGGAAAAAAACTACTGTAATTTAATGATAAATGAGTAAGGGACCAAATGTAAATATAAAACACAAGTACATTTTTTATTAATAAATATATTTTATTTTTTAAAAATGTAAACATTTATTTTTCTTGGTCATAAGTTTACATACACCTGGCAGAATCTGCAAAATGTTCATTATTTTAACAAAATATAAGAGGGATCATGCAAAATGCATATTATTTGCTTTTATTTAAAAAGGTATTTTACATAAAAATATGTTTACATATAGTCAACAAGACAAAAAATGCATTAATTTATAAGCATACAATAATTTGTATTTTGTATGATCCCTCTTAGTTTGTTAAAATAATGAACATTTTACAGATTCTGCAAGGTGATGTAAACTTTTGACCACGACTGTCTATATATATATATTTTTTTTTTTTCACCTGTGGTTTAACATTAAATGTGGATTTAATTTATACATTGAAATAAAATTCTAAGTATTAAAAAAAATGACATTTAATTATTATTTTTATAATTTTATTTTAGTATTTTAACGCAAACTATGATTACCATGGTAAATGTTTGTAAAGGAAGTAACTGAATAACTCTTATCAAATCTGAGGAAAGATAGTAACAGACTCACATGGCCATTGGCCAGAGGAATCGGCTCCATTAGGTCGACCCCCTCAGCGTAGACCTGAATGAGAGAGAAAATGTCCCGGGCCTTCACGGCATCACAGAGCGTGTGCAGCTTCGACAGCGCGTCGGGGCACTTCTTACGGGCAAAGCGTTTCTCCGTGTACTTGGCCATGATGAAGTCTTTCCTCGCCTGCCTGAGGCATTAAAAGGAAATTAAACAAGAATGAATTTGCATAAAAATACAACATCAGTGATGATAAATTCCCAAAGAGAAACTTTGGCTTACATGTCACTGGCTGGGTTTGGTTTGATCACGTCTTCTGCCGTCAGACAAGCTTCCATGATCTCATTAAATCCAGCATTCCCCACGTTCTTGGCCAGCTAAACACCACAACACACACATGCATGCAAACACATGCATGAAATCAAAACAAAAACTAATTGCATTTCGCCACTCCAAAGGATCAACAAAAGCATTTATTCAGGGTCCATTTGATCTGTTTTGTTACTTCATAATATCCCAATCAGCCAAACAACGTCTCTTGGCACTCAATCAGAGACCCGAGGCTTTCTCACTGTGGCTAATAGTTCTGCAGTCTTGTGTAATTGCTTTAATGATCCTAAATTTCTGGCCAAAAAAGCTTTGGGCTGAAATCATGCGTGTGGAATAACTCCCAAAGAGCCCAAGTGATTTAAGCAAACCCTATAAAGATTTCAAGTATGAAAGCTGAATTGAAAGAATCCAGTGCAAACTAAATAAATAAACCCAATCTTAGGCTTCCAGCAGCAGCAGCAGCGCTGGGCAATCTGTGAAATCAAAGATCAAGCACTAACCAAGAGCTCGGAGGTGCTGAGAACATCCAGTGTTAGAGACTGGATTCTGGAGTAGTGCACACCCAACTCCCGGTGGATCCCTGAACATTCGATACAAGTCAGGATGCCCAGGTTGGTGGAGAGCCACGTGGGACCTGAGGGAGAATGAGAGGGGAGAAGAAAAAAATAATTAACAGAAGCTGTCGATCAAGAATGTGTAACATCCAAATGGAACTTAAAAGATGAAATGGCTAATCCTCATTCCCACATTGATCGTCAAGTAGAGTTTTATCATTGATCAATTATGCAAATTGCTGGAGCGAGCAGTTAGCACAAACACACTAAAGTCTGAATAAAGGCAAATGAATAAAAAATGCATAATAATAATTATATTAATTAGAATAATAAACAAATGTTGACATCATTGTAATATTACATTATTATATTTTAAAAATTGATCAAATTAATTTGATATAATGAGGTACTTGTAGAAAATAAATAAACACAATCACATTAGGTAATAATAATAATAATAATTATTATTATATTAATTAGAATTTTAATTTCTACCATATTCAATTTAATTATATACATTTTTATGATGTTTTTGTATTTATTATTAGTTTTAAACCAATATTTTATTAATTTAAATTTTTAATTCTACCATATTACCGTATTTAATTTAATTATATAGTATATCTTAATTTTTTTCTGCTGAATTTATTATTATTAAAAAATATTAATAATGAATTATTATTATTGTATTAGATTATTGTATTTAATACATGTATTCAATCATATAATTATTTTATTGTATTATTATTATTATTTAATTAATGTAATATTTAATAAATATTAAATAAATGCTGCTATTATTTTAAATTACATTATATTTAATACATCAATTAAATTATATAATAAATAAATGTTATTACTAGCATTATTAAAATACATTATTATATGTAATAAATTAATTCAACTGTTGCATTCATTATTAATAACTATAATTATAATAGTAATGTGAGGTTCAGCCTTATGGTGGCGGTATCTTTTTTCTTCTTTTTTTGACAGGTTGTTTTGTTCTGCAGGTCTTTTCTTTCCTGACAGGTCCAAACAGAGCAGCCTATGCAAATTCAATTATTTTAACAGAGTTCCTTTACTAGCGCTTTGTTCTTCCTGTGAGACAATTCAAAACAGCCCCCCCCCCCCTCCTCCTCTTTCTCCACTTCCTCCTTCCTGTCGATGTCCAGGTTACTCACCGGGAGCTCCACAGTCACAGCAGACGTCGTTCCCCGCCATCCGCTTGACCTCACCCAGGATGGCCTTGGTCAGCTCCTGCACAATGTTGTTCTCGCCAACATGCTGGTCTCCCTTAAAGGCGTTGTTGAGCGCCTCCTCCTTGCTGTTCTGCAGAACTGAGATCCATCTGAGGAAGGAGAGACGCATAGATAACGGAAACGCTGTTGATACTTACTCCCTAAAACAGGACATCGCACAGCACACACAAACACACTTACATTTGACACTCTGGCTCATCCTCTGCCTGGAAATGATACGTTCTGTCATCTAAGAGTGAAAGGAAAAGAGAAAGACTGTTAGATCAAAGGACAAATAGATCTTGGAGAAAACAAAGTGACTAAACGATCTGCCCTGTATTCCGAGTCCAACTCTGACTAACAATCCCCTTTCACACTGATTTGGACCAACATTTGTCCAAATGTTATTATATTTCTTTGTTGCAAAATGTTGTGATATCCTTCATGAAACACAACAAATAGGCAACACTGTCATTTGGTTGTAATAAACATTCCTGGCGGATTTGATCAATTTGATCCAACTTAAAATTTCCATAAATTTTAGTTTTGTTTATATACTATTATAGTATTCATTTATTATTTATTAGTAGTGTTTATTAATATTCTGAATTAGCTTTTATTTTTATATTTTCAGATTTGATTGCAATTGTAGTTTATGTTTTAGTCATTTTAAGGTTTAGTTTTTTTTAGCTTCAATTTATTTTTATTTCAGATTCTAGTTTGTCATTTTATTGCTTAAACTTGCTTTAAATTTTATTTCAGTTAGTCGTTTACGTTTTTTTATCTAATATTTATTATTTCTTATATTTTATTCAGATTTAATTAATTTAACAGAAATCTATTTTAATAGTTTTAAAAAAATCTAATGAATAAATGTCTGCTACAGATCTCATTAAATAGAGTTATTTCCGAGGCTCTGCTGTTTTGAATACGCTAGCTGAAGAACTTTTTTTTTTTCTATTTACATTTACATTCTGTCCCATTTGTTTTCATTAGTTTATATTTTTGGTATGGGTGTGTGTGTCCACTTTTCAAATGAGAGACTAAATTCCGTTGAATAGCTATACAATGAAAATAAACATTTCGATTCAGTTCTACTGAGGAAGAAACGATCGCATTTTCCTCACAAGAGTGACACTACTGTGAGAATCTATTAGGAATGAGGAAAACTGAAAAAAAAAAACACAAGAGGATGGGGCAGGCAAGATAAGCTCAAACTCTCCCACTCATGGAGCGACACATAAAACTGAACTTGTTTTTCTCTCTGACATTAGTTTCCTGTGGTTAGATGAGATGTTAAAGGAAGCACAGGAACATGGGAGAAAATCCCTCAGCCAGGGTCAGTGTTTCCTCAGCCAATATTTCCTCATAGATAACAACAACACAGTTACACTGTAGCCTTTAAAAAAGTGTTTGTTTTTTGCTCTCAACATTCTCAGCTAGGTCTTTAGCAACCAGGTTTTAACTACGCTTTACAGCTCTCCCAAATCGGATTTATAAACGTGTGTGTAAAGTAATTGTGACGGGTGTAACCGTACGGGAGATGAGGTCGAAACTTTTCTTCTCCTCTGGGTTGTGCTTCACCTGGCAGGTGAGAAGATTGAGTTTGGCAGGAGGTCTGTTAGCCTGAGACAGAAACCGGAGAGAAGAGGAGAGAGATAGAGAGAGAATTAGAATTTTTAATTTTAACACACCTTTATTACAAATAACCTAATACTAATACATTCAGTTGCTACCTACAAGAGTACAAAACACCATACACACAAAAAAAATATAAATAAATAAATAAATAAACTCATTCCAAAATAATTTCACACAGAGCCCCCTCATAACACCAAATAAATTCAAAAGACATAAAATCCCCCATAGCCTTATAAAACCGAAAGTCAATTAAAATTCAAATTAGTAAGAAACACAATCTGCAAATTTACACTTGAATTGCGTTCAATTCTTATTTTTCTAGTGTCATATATCGCCTTCTTCGCTTGACCCAGTAAAAAAATTCAATAATTGACAACTAAATCGACATTTACGGATATATTTAAATCCACAAATAAACATTTCCAAAGAAAAAGAAGAGAACATTTCAGAATATCCAACATGGTGTGATACAAAAAAAAAGTCTTATTACTAAAATGCAACAAATTATGATTTATTATTAACTGCAAAATATTTATTCGTAATGGTTGTATTTGTTGTACTGAATTTAATTTATACCAATTACATTTTTATTTTTAAATTGCATTACTGTATCTTTTTTACTTAAATACAGGAAAAACTACACACTTAAAGTAATGAGAATCTAACAAGAATAATTATACGAAAAGAACTCGCACAAAAAAACCCTAATGGTCCTTAAACAGGATTCATTTTCACAAAAAACCCTAATGGTCCTTAAACAAGATTCATTTTCACAAAAAACCCTAATGGTCCTTAAACAGGATTCATTTTCATTGTGCAATATTTTGCTCATTTCTTCTATATCTTTTAGTTTTAATGAGATTCACTCTCAGACTACCTATATTTCACATTCACCTTTATAAATCCCTTCATAAATGTCCGTGTATTTTGCTTTTTTTTCCGTAAATATTTAGAGTCGTCATAGCTGTTAATTGCTGCAAACTATTTTGGGATAGTTTACCCCAAAATGAAAATTCTGTCATCAATCACTCGCCCTCATGTCTTTACAAACCCGTAAGACTTTCGTTCATCTTCAGAACACAAATGAAATGAACACGAGTAGAGCTGGTTCTTACTAAAGCTCAAACTTTTGCGTAACACGGGAATGAACCTCATTGGTTTTTGCACGTCAAACGAACATCCTTGAGCTTCTATTTACCACAACTGGTGTGTGAGTTGATGAATGTTTATATGTCGTTCCGAACACGAAAGTCTTACGGCATTGGAATTTGGAAAAACATGAGAGTGAATGATTCATGACAGAATACTAAACCCTTATTCAACAGTTGGATTACTCTTTTATACTACACTTCCTCTAATCCCCTCGCCAGTTGTCCTGGTCTTCAAGTCTGAACAGCACTGAGGACAAAGGAAATGGCTCTAGAAAACACACTAGACTTATGATGTTCACCAAGTGGCTAAAAGCCTATTGAGTTTGCACTGCACTAATGAGGAAACTGCCCTGGTTTATCAAAGATAAGGTGGCTGCCCCTCTTTTAATTCATTCATCAATTATTATTATCAATTATTATTTAAATGATCTTTTTTAGTTCAAATAAATGCACATACATAGTGACAAATTAATTCAATTCAATTAACAGAAGCATAACACTACTCATAATAATTATTAAAAAAAGAAGAATGTATTTTTCCAATTCCACTTATTTCCTTTTCAAAACTGCTGTCAAGACTAATATAGCAGAAATCAATATCAATTCCTCTATTAAATGGAAAATGTTTTTGTCAACTCTGGTTAATTACATCCCTAATACATATATTATATTTGTAAACCATCATGATGAACATTAAATACGTTTATATTTATTTAACCATATGAATAATAATAATAATAAAACTATTTAACAAACAGGGGAAGAAATGGTTTCTATCCTACACAACTATATAGTTAAATAATTGTTATTATTTATTTATTTATTTATTATTAACGGTTCATTTTTCACTTCAAAAGCTCAAAGTATACATTTATTCTCATGTGACAAATGTGACACGGTCACTGGCACTTGGCATTTCAACTACCCAGATGTTAGTTAGCGAATGTAGAAGCATATGAGCATGGAAACCAATCAGATATGAAGAAGGTCAGATGCGGTTACGTACCGTCCCGTGCGAGATGGTCAAATAACCGTTCTTCACTGTGCACTTTCTCTTCTGCCACACTTTCCGCAACCTAAGGAAGGAGGCAGGAAACAGTAAAAGTCAACAACAAAGATTTAAACACACATCCACTGCTCTGAACACATGATCAATTACACAAGATGGACTTCAGTCCCTGTAATGAGTGTACATTAACTCAGGGGTTCTCAAACATTTTGGTACCAGGGACCCCTTTCAGGGGAAAAAAAATTCCAAGGACCCCCCTCATATTTATAACAGTTATTGAGCACAAAGTTAATGTGTGAGCGGCAAATGAAATATTTTTGCACAAAATGAATGGTCTCCACCCAGGGTACTATGCAGGAATTTCTAAATAGCCTACTGAGGTAACGAAAGTGATCTTGCTAGGAATCTTAGGATCCCTCACTTAGGAATTTTTGATGTTCTTGATCTACACATGTGCATTTTAAGGTGTTTTAAGGCCCCACAATTGGATAACTATAGATTTAGGAGAAGCATGTCAGTCAGTGGCATACTTTTTTTTTTTTTTGTGTCAAGATGTCACGAAACACAATCACATATTCCAATCAGGAATGGCCTTGAAGAGAAATGTTTCAATAATTAGGCCTATTCTGCACACAAATAAAGCCCATAAGCCTATAAATACAATGATAATGGCATTATGTTTAATAGGTGCGTGCGTTGTTAATTTGAGCTACTGTAATTAGCTAAAAAAAACATACAGTATATGTTAAATATATGAATCCATAATGTTAATCTCATGGGCACAGTATGTTTCTATTGACCTGCTTTTTCCTTTGTTAAAGTTGAGCTTGATTAATACTTTGCAAACTGATTGTTTCAGTCGTTTTTTAAAACTTTTATCTAAAACAGCTGTTTAGTTTATGTTAATAAAGGCCTACATCTTATCTCGCACTTTATGACCGTTGACTGAAACGTCGTGCGGGGAACTTTGAGTTCACTCCGACTCAAACATTTTGACATTGACGAGCTATCGTTGTTAGTCTGCTGAAGCACCTCAGACGAGAAGGTCAGTATCATCGCGATGTGCATCCTTGCAACCTCAGTTGTGGGTACGGCCCTGTCACTATGCACATTTATTTTGATAATGATCAGACTTCTAATGTCAAATCTACAGTAGCAGTGCTAGAACTGACTATTGTGCGCGCACGCGAGACGCCGGCGCGCAATTACATGGGAATTTTTCCTCAGCAGTGGAAACAGGAATACTCTTATTTATGGTCATAGATAAGACAAGAGTGCATCATCCGAAACGGTAAAGTGTCCATTTTTTTATTTGTGTATAGGCTACATTATAAATGACTACAAAATGTCATGCCTTTTAAAAATACAGAAAAGAACCGGATGCGGGTTCATGCCGTCTCTCTGTCTCCTTTCTGGCGCACGTCCCGCAAAATCAACAGCAGCGAATAGTCTACTTGACGCAAAGACATAGATTATCTATCTATAGAAAACTTTAAGTGTCTACTTTGTATTGTTTTATGTTAAATGCTTTATATAAGTTACTTAGGAATAAACAGCATGTTTTCAGATGATAAAGAAAACATGACTCATAGCATGGAAAAAAACGTTAGGTTGTAAATTATTTCGCGGACCCCCTGGCTTTAGCTCGCGGACCACCAGGGGTCCGCGGACCCCACTTTGAGAACCACTGCATTAACTCACGATATGGCATTTTAATGCACACTGTTATGTGATGCCAAAATATGATTACCAGTGTTGGGTAAGTTACTCTAAAAAAGTTACTAATTACTAATTAATTAATTACTAGTTACTAATTACCTCTTCAAAAGTGTAATTAGATTACTGTACTAATTATTCTCTCTAAAAAGTATTTAATTACTTTTTTTAAAATCCCATATCAATCTCAACCAGCTGAATAATACAAGGATAGACATGAATCTGTTTTAATTATTTCAAATAAATACTACGAAATTGCATGAATTATCCTTAAACTGACCAAGGAGGTAAAGGTTACATTCTAAAAACATACTTTTTAACATCAGACAATACATTTTGATGTTAAACCCACTATTGTTTTATGTCTGATCTCATGACATTTCACACTTTTTCATACATATTTTACAATAATTCATACGAATTTGTACGAGTGCGGTCGTACGATTTAGACACCTCATAAAAATGCATACGGATCGCTGTGAGATCGGATTGATCTATACACAGTATTTACCTCAATTACATCAGAAGTAACTGTATTTAAATTACAGATAAATGAAGAGTAATCCCTTACTTTACATTTTCAAGGGAAAAGTAATTAAATTACAGTAACTAATTACTTAGAAATTTAATAACACCCAACAAAGATGATTACCCATCGCTCTTCTTGTAAAGGTTCCCGCTGCGGTCCGTCCCGTGTTCTTTGTTGCCCTGTGGCTGGTGTAGACTGTAGGTGGCGCTCTGTCTAACCTGCGAGTCCTGTGAGGAGATGCAGATTTGTAAGTGTATTCTCTGTACACACACAGCAGCAGTGAACCACTGGCAAGTCAGCAGTCAGAGGAAGCGAAAAGCTGTTTTTTTTTTTTTTTTTTTTTTTTTTTTTACGGCAGCGTTGTCACTCCAGTGAGGAAATGGGAGCAGTGGGCTTCAAGCCTCTCCGGGGAGCTGAGCTCATTTGGAAACGCACTGTTTTGGAACACAAGGCTCTGAGCCAGTAATGAGAACGCTTCCATTTTAGTACTAATGTTTTGAGTTGAGCGAAAGCCAAAATGAGCTGTATTCTTTATTCTGACTGTAAAAAGCTCGGCTTAAACATACTGCCATATCAATCAGAGTCGGATAAAAGACATCTGTGTGAACTGCACTCCGGGCCTTAGATTTAATGAATTAATCTGCATTGAATGTTTTTTCTTCTACATTTTGTAAACAAAATGCAAATGTGTAAATATGTTCATGTATACCAAGTATGCACTTACTCTCCTAGACTTCGTTGCCAAAGGTCGGTAGCATTAAAGAAGAGAAGAGAGCATTCTTTAGACAGGTTATTCATACATTTTGCATACCAAACTGAAAACAACACGGTAACACTTTACTTGAAGGGGTGTGCACATAAGACTAACATGACAACTTCATAATCATGTCTTATTTTATGCATGTTTGTGACAACTGTCATCAAGTGTCATTCGCTCAGTTATGACATTTTTAATGCAAATATGACATTGTTTGAGATGTCTTTGTCATGACAACTTGACATTACTAACATTACTAAGACAACACAACCTGTCATAAACATGACATAGCAGATTAATTATCAAACTTAAGAAAGCACCTAACTGTATTGGTTAACATTACATTAAACTGTCAGGCGGTTGGTTATGACATTGCCTGTCATGAAGCCATTATAATGACCTTTTTAATGATAAATTCAATTAGTACCACTGTAGTCGAGGTCACAAAAAATATTCATGACACAGTTAGAATGGCCTCATGACAGTAAATGTTAAAACCAACCATATGACAGTTTAACTTAATTTTAGGTCAAGTTGTCATGACAGAAACTGACATTGGTTTATGTTAAGGTGTCATAACAAAGACATCTTAAAGAATGTCATATTTGCATTCAAAATTGTCATTATTGAGTGAAAGACATTTAAAGACAGTTGTCACAAACATGCATAAACCTTACTTCATATTCAAGACATATGTCATGTCATGGTTATGAAGGTGTCGTGTCGGTCTTATGCACACCCCTTTAAGTAGCCAATAGCCAGTTATTTGTATGTTACGGTTGATAATCAATAAAAAAAAATAAAAAATCGAATAAAAACCCAAATACTTAAATTCACACTTAAAGGGTTACCCAGTCTCACTCTTAGTTCACTCAATCTCTGAGATTTCATTTAAAATATCTTCATTGATGACATTTTATTTATTTATTTTTTTGGGGTGAACTAACCCAAAAATTGAGAATAATATGGCAAAAAATAGTCAATGTCATGACAATGTTGACTACTGAAAAAAATAAAATATATAAATTTAAAAATCCACATGATCACAAATATATTTTGTACTCCTTTAGTAAACAAGGCTGTCAAATAAAAATAATAATAAAATAAAAAAATAAATAAATAAATTGCCCGAAAAATGCACACACCTGTAGTAATAAACGCCATCAATAAATCAAATATATAGGTTGAAAACACTATGATCCCAGATATATAGTGCGCTCTTATAATAAACAGAGCTGTCAGGTGTAACCCAGTAGTGTGATAATAAGATGGCGGGACATATAAAACGCTTAGTAGTTCACAAGGAGTTAAGAGGATTGTTAACTTATGATTATTTGCATTGAAATGTGTGTAATGTCTGTAATCATATGCTGAAGAAAACACTTAAATGTCTTGAGACTGACTAAAGCTTAAGGGTGAGAAAATTGGCAGGAAGATGATGCGATAGAGGTTGATCACCAGTTCAATGCGATGTTTACTGAGAGAAGAGCTGAGCAGAAGTAAAACATTTTAATCGATACACATCAAACACATCACGGAGCACTGTAAATAGTTTTGAGGGTGTGAGAGATTTGATTTGAGAAAGGACTAACCTCCTTCTGCTCCACTTGCAGAGATGTCTTTAGCACGTCCCGTAACTGGGTTAGCTGCCTGCGTTCTTCATCTTGTACCTGTTTGATCTGAAGATATCAGAAGTGGAAACAGAAGATAAAAATAAGAGCTGATCTTGAGATCAGTGGTGTGAGCCACGTTAGGGCCCAGTGTGGGAATGCTTCAGCTGTGAATATCTCACCGAGTGCAAGTCTGTGGCGAGTTTTTCTATTGAGGGTTTGAGGTTGTCCACTGCTTTGAGACCATCCTGAAAGAAGCTACGACAGAGGACACAATGCCAGTTATTTTTTAAATAATTTAACACAGGCTCCATTCCAGTAAAAAAAATAAATTATATATATATATATATATATATGCATATAAAAACAACACTGGACTCAATTGACTTTTTATATATTTTTGTTTGTGTTCCACAGAACAAAGAAAGTCAAAGAGGTTTGGAACCACATGTGGATGAATGCATGCTAAATGACTTTCATTTCATTTTTGATTGAACCCTTAAACACGCCTTAAAATATACCTTAAAACCTTTTTATGCCCAAAAATGCTGTCTTAAGGCTGGTACACACAGAATGCATTTGTCAGTGGAACAGAAAAAAAAAAGCAAGCTCATGAAACGCCAGATACCCCGCCTCCTGGGAGTCTCCTGCATATTGATAGCGTCTCCCTGATGCCAGAAAATTAAATACAATACCCCGTAAATCAAGCAAAGGAGAGAGAAACCCTGTTTCCACTTAGAATTATTTTCAGCGAACCAATCACAAGTGGTCAGCCAGGACTCATTTCCATTTGCACATGGTATTGCATTATCATATATATATATATATATATATATATATATATATATATATACACACACACACACACACACACACACACACATATATATATATATATATATATATATATATACATACACACACAGAATGAGTTGAGTCGCAGGGTGGGAGTTTTTTTTTTTTTTAAAGATGAACAATTTAATTTGTGCCAATTTAATGTCAATTTAATTCACGCGCAAGACTGCAAAAGATGCGAGATGGGTTGAATGTGTCCGTCTTGCACGCGTCAACTTAGAAAAACTATAGAAAAGTAGCGCAGTGTTCTGTGTGAACCGGCCCTTATGATGGCCATTGTTTAATACAAACGTTGGCATGTGGCCAGACTTACTTGCACTGTGCATGAAAGTATTTGATGAGGTTCTGGAGCAGGTCGACCCCTTTCTTGATCTTGATTTCGTTGACCTTGAGGAGGTACTGTAACAAACCAATGGAGAACACTGAAGCACACACTGCACAGGAAGTGCCTATTACCGCACCATAACAAGATTCTCCAATAAAATTAGTCTCCTCTGACCTCACACATCTGAAGCTGAAAGAAACGGCGCTCCTTTTCCATCTCTTCCGCTATCTCCGCTCCACTGATCTCAGTCCGGATCATTCCATGCTGTCGGGCGTGCTCTTTTTTCTCCTTCTCTATTTTAGAACTGCGCACAGAGACACACACACAGACCACCTTAAAATTTTGGATACACAAATACAAACACACGCACAGGAAACACTCATGCAGCAGGGCATTCTTTTCCATATGCTCCAGCGGCATATTGTACCCCACGTTACGGATGCAGCATTTCCTCTGTTGGGAAGATTCCAGAGAGAGCCTCATGCGTTTGGTTTAGGCTTTTATAGGCTCTCGGCTCCAGCGGCCGATCATGAAGCAGGCTGGCCATTTCTGGAACCTCTGCTTTCAGAGTTTCAAGCCTAGCGTGGAGATGTGATCAGGAGATGGCTGAACACTAGAAGCCATTTCCAGTACAAAACATTTCTAGTCAGTGAAACTAGAAAAGGTAGAGGCAAAAAAGGATTGTGATCAAATGCATCAAGCGCTGAATGAAGTGATGTGTTAGCATGAGAAGCAATAATTTGGATTTCTGTATTTTAGTGATGGGGAGAAGCCAGACTATTAACTTAAAAAGGTTTGTGTTTTTTTTTAATCACCCAAAAATAAAAATAAATATGTACTAAATGTCAAAAAAAAGTTCTTCCTTTGCGGTTTTTTGCGTAGACGATAACATTGTAAAAATGATCACCGTTCACATGGATCCATGAAAACGACTAAAAATGCTGTTTTATGCATGCCAGGTCAGTAGTTGGAGATGTCACTTTTTATAGAAACATTTGGAAATGCATGCACATGATGTCACTGGTTTTACAAATTTAGTTTTTTTTAGACGATAAGCTGTTGTCGCGTAAAATGAACAGCCGAAATGCATACGTTTTCAGTCTTTAGTTGACTGAAAGTTGATGGTGTCGCGTAAATGGCCCCTTAGTGGTTGAACGGATTGTTTAGCCAAAAGAAGAAGAAAAAATGACACCCTCAAGTCATTCCAAAACTCTATGCCTTTCTATCCTGTGTAGAACCCAAAAGATGTTATTTTAAAAATTGTATCAGTTTTGATTGGTTTTTGTTTTGTGCAAGGAATATCAATGGGGTTCAATCTTAGTTGGTTCTCAGTGTTCTTTAAAATATCTTGTGTTTCACAGAAGAAAAAGTCATACAGATTTTTTAGAGCATGAGGGTGAGTAAATTCTGAGAATATATATTTTTGGGGGCAAACTATTCCTTTATTTACACTTTTTGATAGTGCCTATTTTCATTGCAAAAGCCAGGTACCAATAAAAATGTAAATATTAAAGCCTATTTAATATTTTTTTATCCATCTTTGATAAAAAAAAAAAAAAAACCTTGACAATGTGGTGTAGTAAAATAAATATTTAATGAAATACTCATCAAATAATAAAATATTGGATTATATGAATTATTCATTGACAAACTATTCCTTTATTTACACTTTTTGATAGTGTTACAGAAGATCAGCTCTTTAAAATAATGTAGCTTTTCCAGAAATCTGTGAAATTTCAAACCAGAAAAGGAGTTTTTTTTTGTAAATGTATTTTGCTTGCAGTATTACGTAAAAACTGTCTCTTTCGACTAGCGCCGTCAAGTCTGATTCACTTTAGTGAACCTGTTCTAACACTTACTAAATGGTTCCAAAGAATATTTTAATTCAATGAACCGTTTCAGAAACTTGCTGACTAATTTGCACCACGCAATGTTTCCACAAGCCCTTGGTTTCCTTTTTTCACACATTTTTTATTTTGTGTGTGTGACTATTTTCATTGCAAAAGCCAGGTACCAATAAAACAATGTGGTGTAGTAAAATTAATATTTAATGAAATACTCTTAAATAAATAAATTAAATAATGAAATACTGGGTTATATTAATTATTCATTGTCAATAGTGTAATTTTTTCTATTTTTTACTTCTTGTAGAATTTTTATATATATATATACAAATTCTATCCAAAAAGGCATAAAAAGTAAAAAAATATATATATAGCTAACATTTTTCAAAGTAGCTTCCCCGACAGTGATTACTTACAATGAGGTATATTTCACCTGTCCATCTGACAGATGGAAGAAATGAGTCTGAACAGACTCCCTCATGCCAGCACATCACTTCCATGGGTGACTGTAAAGAACAGTCCACCATTTTTACTGACAACAAATCATGTTCAATATCAAACCAGTTAAAAAAATAAATTAACATAAAATGGTGGAGTGTTGCTTTCATCTTTGGGAGAAAGAAACACACGCAAACGAAGTAAATATGAATCGTGATTTGATGTTTCCTGCTGTTCACCTGCTCTCTCGAGTTTTTTTTTTTATCAGATTCTCTGACTATTACACAAACACAGCGAGATCTCTAGCATACTCATCAGCAGGATATTTGCACTAATGGAGCTTGCCACGCAAACTGCAATTTGCGAGAAAGCCGAAAGCTTAGCACAGACACAGAGATTGAAGAGAACTCAAACTGTAGCGGTGGTGACGATGAAAACCAGTTTAATGGAGTTAGAGCCAGTGTCACATTAGAGGCTGGTTTTGTTTCTTTCTGTCTGGAAACATGAAGGTATCGGTCACAATCAGACACCGGAGATTACATCCAGTGATGGGCAAGTGAAACATGTATTTGACTGAGCCAAACTGCCGATGATGGAAAACAGCAATGATATTTAAAAAGACAGGACCATAAAGGTAAATCAATTAATCAAATGATGTGTTATAAGAAAATATATATTACCCTCTCAGTAAAGAATGTCCCTTGCAGCTTGGGAAATATATAAAAAGTGCTCTATAAATGTCATACACTGTGGCATGCAGAACAATCAGTGTGATAGCATAGGAGTACAGTCAGGAAGTGAGGTGGTCACAATGACAGCTCATTATCCAGAGTGCTGGAACCCTCATTTTGACAATCGGGAAACTGATGCTTCCTTTCAATTTGATTAATTTTCAGACTAAGATATAAATATAAGCAAACACGCATGACAGAAATTAATCAGTGGTTTTAGATTATTTGAAAATGACTTACACTTTAGTCTCATAGTCTTTCCAGGCTTTATCAAAGGGCTTCTTGAGATCCTGCAAGAGAGAGAGAGAGGATTTTATATTAGACAAACGAATGACTCAACTCTCATTGTGACTTCCGCAGTGTAACCCAAATAACTAAAGAAAAACAGGCCTGAGCAACAGAGCTAGACGTTTCACTATCAGCATACTATCTGGTCCAGGTTGTAGAATTTTATGCAATGTGAACATCATGAAATGCCTTCAACATTGCCATACAATTCAATGTTAGCCCATTTGTTGTATTGAATGCTTTTGAGGAACATTAACACAAGTTAACAAGATTGTGGATGCATCAGCCAATCAGATTGGAGCTTGTGTTTTGCACAAAACTAGCAATGCCGTTTTGAGACTTAGCAGAATAGTGGCATAAAATCACCGCTCATTTGCCTCAGTGTGCATCATCACGCATGATGTCACGCTCAAAAAGAAAGTACCTGATGTAATGCCAGTGGCTGCTTTTTGTAATGACATCATCTGAAAGCTTTAGGGAAATTCTCTGCTTGTACAAACAGCGGCTCTACCGAGGGTTTATACTAATAACAGAAGGCTGTGTTTGTAGAGGAACTATGTGCTCCGCTAATGCGCTTCCATAACAGATGTTACACGCAGCTCGAGTTGTGCGGAAAACAATCTCATCTGTGCCAGCGAAATGTCTCAGTAAGAGGAGTTAAACAAGAAAAATGAGTTCAAGAACATACATCCAATCTTGAATCATTGTAATATGCATTAGAAGAGACAGGAAGTGTCGTGCCCATTCAAACAGGGATGTGATGTGGCAATTTTTTCATTCAAATTACATAAATGTTATGTCTAGCGGTTAAACAATGTAGAGCCCGACCGCTAAAGGATTTTGAAGGCCGATACCGATACAAATATTTTTGGGTTTTAAAATCCGATATATCGGTCGATATTTTATTTATTTATTCTAAACTTGACATGATAGTCACAAATTTTGTCATGCTTATTTGAGTTAAGAGATCTGATGGGGATGTTCTTTTAATTGTTATTCAAGCAATGCATGTCTCGTGACCAACTCAACGAGTGTTGCCAACAGGAACGGTGTAGAGTGCCCTCTAGTGGACAAGCTATACAACTCCAACACTCATAACATGGTTCAAGCGTGTTTCGTCCATTTTTATTTTATTTTTGAAATATTCATTTATCGGCCATTATAACTGCCGATACCGATAGTTTGGAAAATGCCTAATATCGGGCGATAATATCGCTCGGCCGATATATCGGTCTGGCTCTAGAACAATGAAACTGAAACGCTGGCCAATATAGTGTTGGAGGTTTCATGCCTATATATGCGCGTCCTGGTGGCCAATATTCACTGATTTCCCATTCCATCAGTAAGAGCAGACGTGAAGTTTGAATTAGCAGAGCAAAAGCATAGATGTACATAAAATATTGCAATCCACACAACATTATGAGAGAGTTCAAAAGAGGACAAATTGTTAGCGTGCAGTTCGCTGGCTCGTTTAGCTCATTTGCTGGGCTAAAATATCATGGCATCCCCTACTGTCACTGCCAGCGACTACAGAACCATACTGGAGGACCATGAGCACAGGTGGTTCAAACATTGCACACTAAAGGTGGTGCTGTGTATCAGCATGATAATGCATCAATTCACACAGCAAGACTTCTGACAGAATGGTTTAACGCACATGAAAGTGAAGTTGATCATTTCCCATGGCCTGCACAGTCACCAGATCTAAAATTAAGCCACTTTGGCATATTTTGGAGGAGCAAAATGTTTTCCTCTACCAGTATCCCATTGTGACCCGGAAGAGGATTATATTTGTATCAACTTTTGTACTCAATAACAGCACATATTATATAGACTATTATATTAGAGACATTGTGCAAGATGTGAAATAACTGATTGACACAGACACATTAATCAAATACTAATGGTGGTTAGATGCAGGTCTAGTCTGCTGCTGTTTTCAAGAACATTCTTGAGGTTTGAATTAGAGAGATCTTCATGGCTCATTACAGGGAAAAAATCTCAATAACCAAAGGGCCACTTCAGGATTCAGAGAATGACCTTT